GAAGGTCAAGTCTCCCTCGATCACGTCAGGGGGGGCATAGGGGATGAGATCCTCCCTAGGCAGCAGGAGAGGGCGTTCCAGGTTGTTAACATCTTTGAGACTGCAATCCACGGAGGCCTCGACGAACCACACGCCATCGCCGGTGCAATCCACCTCGGCCTCACCGGGGATCGGCTCCACGATCCGCCCCGCGACGGGGAAGTAAAGGACGAGAGCACGGGACAGCGCCGCCCTGATGGCCTTCGCCGGCTGCAGCCCGTTCTCGAACACAAGTATCAGGTCGATCATCAACCTGATCCCCGCGATGCGGTCCATGGAGGAGAGCGGGAGGCGGGTTGACGGCGTCGGCTCGGCGGCGGCCAAGAGCTCCGAGGCGAGCTTGTTCACGGAGTAGCCCATGGTTGCTACAGCTGCTTCAGTGTCTCAACTTCAGATGCATTGTTGTGAGGCGATGGTGGTAATTATTTATGGAGGGAAAGGAAGCGAAGGGGTGTTTATTAAAAGATTTTTAGAAAAAAAATTATTGGGCATCAAGTAATGAAAAAATAAAAAGAGATAATACTTCAAAACTAATAATCTTATGTTAAATAATGTTAACTTACTATCTCTCCCATCTCTATGACTCGGGATTTCTTTTTCTTGTTTTGCTCTAATTCATCTCTTCTTGGATAATACTCTTAAATCAAAATCCTATTTAATCATGAATTTTGATTTGATATTCAAACAAACTCTTTTATTATCTGATCGTATTAAAGTAGAATATGGACTTGTAAATTATTTACAAGTCTTTAGTGATTTAACCTAACGTGGGTGTAAGGTTTTTCCGATTGGTGATGACGAGTAGGTGTCACCATAACCATCCTAATATTTAAGAAAATGAAAGCATGTAATTGACTTCCAGGTTTGAGAAAGAGACTGCATAGATGAGCACGTAAGCGATCATCGACAAGCTCAGGCTCAAGGCTGAGCTTGAAAGAGGAATGAATTACCATTGATATTGCTCTTAAGAGAACGCGGTAGCGTTCCATCTAATTACTGAGACAAAATTGTTATTCGTTTTTGAAATATTATTAATGAGTGTTTGGATTTCTTTCTACTCGTGGCTGCAGTCATTCTCGTTCTACGAAAGAGTTCCTTCTCATATATCAAATTTGTTGGGAAACCTGCAAATCTCACTGAATGGAAGCTCTTGTCCATTCTTTAGTATATCACGTTTGAATGATTGCATCTAAAGTAGTTGAATTATTGGTCATAAAAAAAGAAAGTGTAAAGTTGGAAATTTGGTTTGTCTTTGTCACTCCCCAATCCACCAATCTATCATCATTTGATCGATTTTAATATCAAATGTCATTACCCGAGTTTAATGAGTTAACTGACTTATTAGCTTCATTTAATATAGAGTATTAGTCAAATACTTAATTGAAATTAATAGTGGTACATTCATTAGACCTTTATAAATCAGGGTATTATAAACTTAAATATATTTACATCACCCTGAAGTAGCACAGCCCGATAACATTCACAATGCACATATACAATATGTTATATCAACCTATCACACAATATAATCACAGCTAAAAGTCTATTATTATAGTTGATAATGACAAAATTAATCTAAAATAGTCTTTCCAACACGCACAAATAAGAATTCTAGTTCAAACGAAAAGTAATTAATAAGTTTACTCATGTCAAATTATTGCTTCTATATTTTATTTCTAGTAGATATTTGCTTCTATATTCACTTCATGATTGTTAATAGCTTCATTCTTGTTTGTATTGAAATCATAATTAGTACTTATATTTAAAGAAGGATCTATAGAGATTTTTTTTATTAAGAAAACCAACAAAAGTGAGATAAATATTTCACCCAAGAATTTAAACATATTAAAGTGGATAGACAACATATGTATTTATTATGTTCATCACATTCATCCTGCGTCATTGACTTAATAACAAAATCGTTCATGATGATATCTAGCGTAGGAGTGACAGGTGGCGACACATGAGGGAATGATAGTTGATAGTCGAATGGCATTGATGGTGCCTTAGTAAGGGGGAGTCGTGCAGTAGACAATAAAGTTGGCTTGTACGCGGAGAATGTTAATCTTGTTTGAAAACCATCCTACCATGTCCTTCATCTTTGGGTGAGACGCATGGGCTCGGGGAAGGCTAAGGCATGGATAACAACCCACGTAGGTGACGAAGAATATTTCCTATGTATGCTATACGGTTTATCATGATTCTGAAGAAAAGAATAAAGATAAGAACAATTACTGAAGAAGCTTTATTGAAGAAATGAAAATGCATGAATAAAAGAAAGAAGATAAGAACAATTATTGAAGAAGTTTTATTGAAGAAATGAAAATGCTTCAATACATTAACATGTTCCCTCTCCTATTTACACAAATTAGGAGAGAAAGTATTTCCCTCGATAGAATAGAGGATTTTTCTGAGATTTCCTCGTTTGGAGAAATCTTATCTTCTATCGTATTCTAAGAGTTGCCAGATGAAATGAACCAAAGGATGAATGCGATGCATGGTAATGATGAAGAGGACTTCAGGCGGTGGATGGTAGTCCGCTCTCATCGGTGGTTTAGGTAAAACTTCATCATCTCTTCATCGAAGGCAGGTAGATGATCCTTTTCGAAGCATCGTGTTATCAACCGCAAGCCCTGCTTCGACTTGGGCGGCGACAGATAGATGCAGGATGCCACGAAGTTACTTTCATCGTTCAACGGAGTGACATGGATCGGCTCACCCCACCCGTAGTTCACCTCTGAGAACCCCATGCGTCTCCAATCCGACACCACCAGCGTCCCGTACCCCGGTGGCACGCGGTAAGGGTCCTCCTCCAAAGTCTCCCCCATCATCCAGTCCAAGAACTTGGTGGATATCCTCTCCTTGGCGTCTCGTATCAGCTCGATCACCTCCACCGGCGAGGAACCAGCGATGGTTCCAGATTTCGCCTTGATTCCCATGGGGTACACGCAGTTGCCGTAGTAGCCTTCCTGCGGCAGCAACCCCCGCAGCAGGTGGCGGGTGTTGGCGGCGAAGCCGAGGTGCACGTCGACGTGGGCGTTGAAGCATATCGCCCGCGTCCGGCACTGCCAGGCCATGGCCGTGACCACGTCAAAGGTGGAGCACTTCTGGCCCCTCTCCCTCGAGAACTGGTTCTTCACTGCGTCGATGTGGACGGAGGAGATGTCGAACACGGAGTTCTCGAAGTTGAAGGCCTTGAAGGAGGGTAGTGGAAGTCCTGGCGATAGCTTCGGCGGACTGGGGATGGCGTCCCTGCACCAGACTGGGTAGACGACGGGACGAGCGTGGCCTCTTGCGATCTCGGCGACTGCTTTCAAGAACTGGGCTGCTCCGAGGCCGTCGAACACTACGTGGCTCAGTCGGGTGCCCACTGCGAACCCGCCGCATGTGAACTCCGTCACCTGAACAATCAAGAGAAGACATGGCAGCCGAAATAATTGGGTGATATGCATACCGTTGCTTTCGGAAGTAGCGTAATGACACAATGTGTCACGTTCGGCTTGTGAAAGACAACCATGCATTTTACGTGAAGCAGTATTACGTGAGCCTACATATTTGGTTGGAGTCTCATGACTTCTTGTAAGCTCCTCGCATTGCCTTCTCTCTCTCTCTCTCTCTCTCTCTATATATATATATATATATATATATATATATATACTCTCTAGATTAATAGAATGGGTTTGATCCATGATTATTACATCGGTTTTAAAATCTCGATATGATGATCTCAAGTCTTGTATTTTTCTGCTTCTTTGGCAGAATTAATGTCATAATTTCTTTCCGCTATTATCCCATAGTAGTGTTATATTCTAACTTAATACGTCAGAAATGCTGTAATCTTACACTGCCGAAGCTGAGGAAAGCGTGCGTACGTACTTGCATCATCATGATCAAATCTTCCTCTTTCACTTCAGCAGGAGCGAATGGGATGAGCTCCTCCTTGGGCAGCACTAACGGGCGCTCCAAGTTGTTGACATCTTTGAGACTGCAATCCACGGAGGCCTCGACGAACCACACGCCTTCGCCGGTGCAGGCGACCTCGGGCTCACCGGGGCTCGGCTCGACGATGCGGCCGGCGACTGGGTAGTAAGGGACGAGAGCCCGGGACAGCGCCGCCTTGATTGCCTTCGCCGGCGCCAGGCCTTTCTGGAACACCAGTATCGTGTCCACCAGGACCCCGACCGCCGCAATGCGGTCCATGCAAGAGAGGGGAAGGCGGCCGGACGGCGTCGGCTCGGCGGCGACCAAGAGCTCCGGGGCTAGCTTGTTCACGGAAAAGCTCATGGTTGGTACAACTAGCTGCTTCGATTTCTCAGCTTTACTCGCTCTGCCGTGGGGTGGTGGTGGTGGTTGGCTTTACATATGTATACATGCAGAAGGGGATGGGTGCGCAATGAACCTGCTTGTTGAGTATGGGGCTCTCCACCCGATCGAGCCTGTTGAGCATGGAATACGTGTGTGTGTGTCACACCAGTTTGGTTGTGTGGGTAGGCGAGTTAGAAGAAATAATGAATGAGATTGTGCAGAATTGAAAAATCTCAGTTGAATTGAAGTTTATCTCTTTTAATTAACAGAAAGAGTATGTTATGGCTAATCATAGATATTTCTCTACCTTATAATAGATGTGGAAAAGATAAGAGCATTCCATCTATTCCTAATCATGTCAACATTAATTTCTAATCATGTCTCCTACTTATATCAATCTTTTTCTATCATCAAAATGATTTTATATAAAAGATATCTTTTTCTTTGCTGAAAATATTTGCTACCTAGATTTGATGGAAATGATTATTACAATGAAAGCTATTTTGGAAATTGACATTAGCTGGTTAATCTTATATAGGTGTTTATCAAATCCTCATACACTATCTGAAAAGGATGAAGCAATGATAGAAAACAAATCATGATTTATAATAAAATAAAGATGAAAAGTTCTCATATGTATAGCAGAGTCTCTTGAGATTGTTGATACCAAACTTGTGCAAAAGTAGGATTTAAATTATGGTGTTGTCACTAATATAGCAATTGATAATGTGGGTTTCTTCGAGTAGATAGTTTTATTTTTATTGGAAGCAAAAAGTCTTTTTATCCCCTAATACAAAAGAAATTACAAGTTCAGATAACTTAGATCCATGAAAATTTAGAAAATGATGATGATGATGATGTTAACACGAAGAATGCTGTTATTCAATACTCAAAAGTTCCAAAGCCGAATGAACTTTTATAAATAATTATTTTAATTATATTGATCATATGTATGTTTGGAGATTGTCTCAATAAATCTGATAAAATTGGTTTGAGATACATAAAATTTTACACCAAAATATATCATGGGTGAATTTTTGAAAAATATTTAACACATTAGATTTTTCACATAGATTTAAAAAAAATTATAGAATATTTTGTTTTCATAAATGATTATTTTTTCTTTGTCAATCACTATCCTCCAACGTGCCTTTGCCCGTAGCCCTTGTCGACCACACTCCTCTTCTCTCCTAGTTACTTGTGCCTCCTCATACGAGCTGACAATATAGGACACCTCCTTCTCTCGTCGCCTGCACCTTTGTATGAGGGTATCAAACATGATCGATCTCCTCGCGTTATATTTATTGTTGATACTCATTGTTTTATGCAAATGGGATATTTATATTACTTTGAATATATATAGAAGTGCTCAGATCAAAAACCTAATCTAAATAAAATCGTTACCGTAAGGAAGTTCCCTGATGCATTTTTTGGATAATTTATCTAAATTATCTCCCAATAGAAAAAGTGAATATACTATTGATTTGACTATTCAGAAAATATCAATATTTAAGCTTCCTTATATAATGACAATACTTGAGTTAGTAGAGTTGAATAAAAAGTAAAGGAGATCGATAAAATTATTAAAGGATTTATTTTTAACCAAATAAAGTCAATATTGTGGTTAATGTATTTAGTAAAAAATCTATAAGTTTTATGGTTGAACTAATTGTAACTCAATAGGAGTTTTTTAAACAACCTTGTGTGTTATGAGAAAAGTATACGATTGATTTTTTTTTATTTATGACATCTATTCAAGTTTGATCTCATCTAACAGATCTAATAAATTAAATAAGTATAAGTACCATATCCATATTTGATATTCTTAAAAAATAACATGAAAAAAAGAGGGTTTGAAACCTAATTTTCAAAATAATGAGGATACATATTAAAATTAGAGATAAATTATGTATCCCTAATGACGTTAAGGATTTCCTTAGTGCTTATGTCATTGATTGAAAAGATGATTGAGATAAAAAAATCTTAATTAATCAAACTATTCTTTTAGTTAAAGTGATTTAGCAAGAATATTTACTTGGAAGCTAGAATAAAAAATGAAGAAGGCTTACGTGGTGGGGGTGGTACAGACTTGCCAATCTTTCTTTAAGTATAGATTAAAGAGTGAAGAATTATGAGGGTGTACAGACTTAATGTTGGAGCATATGGGTAGTCCAGTTGAGCACGAAGTGATAGAACGAGGCTGTGCAGACATGCAAATCTTGCTTCATGTCTAATCTTAATTGAATTTTTTTGTAATTTTACTCGAGGGAATAAGGATTTAATTGGACTGTGTCACATTTATTAGCATCACATGTTTTAGATCACTTGTAGAACAACATGAACAACAAGATACAGGCTGCGGATCGAAAGGCTGAAGTGACTGCATCAACTGTTCCTTCAAGGCAGGTGGAGGGAGGATGGTTGCCGTCATGCTAATTATGGACAAAGTTCATCGTCTCTTCGGTGAAGGCCGGTAGATGTTCCTTTTGAACACATCGTGTCAGCAACCTCACGCCCTGCTTAGGCTTGGACGGCTGCAGGTAGATGCAGGAAGCGACGAAGTTGTGGTCGTCGTTCAACGGAGCGACATGAGTCGGCTCTCCCCACCCATAGTTCACATCTGAGAACCCCACCCGGCTCCAATCCGACACCACCAGCGTCCCGTACTCCAGCGGCACCTTGTCCGGGTCGGCCTCTGCGTCCCCCATCATCCAGTCCAAGAACTTGGTGGACATCCTCTCCTTGGCGTCCCGGATCAGCTCGATCACCTCCACCGGCGAGGAACCAGCGATGGTCCCAGCGGTCGCCTTGATTCCCATGGGGTACACGCAGTTGCCATAGAAGCCTTCCTGCGGCAGCAGCTGGCGCAGCAGGTGGCGGGCGTTGGCGGTGAAGCTGAGGTACACGTCGGCGTGGGAATCCAAGCTTATCGCCCTCGTCCGGCACTGCCAGATCATAGCCGTGACCACGTCGAAGGTGGAGCACTCCTGGCCCGCCTCCCTGCAGAACTGGTTTTTAACCGCGTCGATGTGGTCGGAGGGGATGTCGAACACGGAGGACTCGAAGTAGACGACAGCGGGGGCGGGTGCGTGTCGTTGCGATAGCTTTGGCGGACGGGGGATGGCTTCCCTGCACCAGACAGGCTCAACGAGGGGACGAGCGTGGCCTCTTGCGATCTCGGCGACTGCTTTCAAGAACTGGGCTGCCCCGAGGCCATCGAATACTGTGTGATTGAATCTGATGTCCATTGCGAATCCACCGCATGTGAACTCCGTCACCTGAAAAAGTAATACAGCGCATAACGGTAAAAAAAAGTCTCGCGTGAGCATTAAAATTTAGGCAGCATGCTCTTCATCATCTCCTAAACCAGGTCTGTGTGGCTGTATGCCGCGTGTTCTTGAATCAGAGATAAAGTTGGATGAGACACAATAATAAAACTAATAATAAGAACAATAAAGGTGATGACTGAAAACGGTGGCACGTTCGACTCGTGAAATCTGCCGCATGAGCCTAATGGCTTCTTGTACAATTAGTCGGCAGTAGCTACACGATGAGCAGAGCTAGCTCCTGACACCCAGAAAACATCTTTAGAAAGGAGCCGATATGAACGAAAGGCAGGTAGCTCCTAAAAGCAAGCCAACTTGATTGCAATACGTGTGTCTGTGTCAAAGCAAGCCAACCGGGGAGCGGCTCCACGATTCGCCCGGCGACGGGGTAGTAGGCGACTAGAGCGCGGGACAGCGCCGCCCTGATGGCCTTCGCCGGCTGCACGCCTTGCTCGAACACGAGTATCAGGTCGATGATCAATCTGACCACCGCGGTGATAGAATGAGAGAATGAAGTATGAAATGAAAAGGATAAAGCAAAAAGGCACACTTATTCGTATGTTGATGCATTTTCGGTGTAACGATGAAATAGTTCTTGACCGTATGTAGCAGAGGAGTGGCAAGTGAATGACTCATGACAATGGAATGCCATTGATGTTGCTTAGAGAGGGAGTCATGTACACGTATGGTTACGGTAAAAGTTATCTTAAGACTTCGTAAAAGTATCGTTAAAAGTCTTCTTTTTTTTTTTGACTTGGTAAAAATCGATTATAACCAAGTCTCCGATTTGCAGCTACAAATTAGGGATTGTTTAGTGTTGTTTAGATTAATATCATGTGTTAGCAGGTAGGTGACGCATAATATTTATTTCCTTGTATGTATGTCATACATGTCGTTTTTACACGGTTTATAATGATTCAAGAGGATGTCACACCTGCTGCATGGTAATGACGAAGATGACTTGCAGGCGGTGGATAGTAGCCCGCTCTCATTGTAGTTCTAGGTAAAACTTCATCATCTCTTCATGGAAGGCGGGTAGATGATCCTTTTCACAGCATCGTGTCATCAACCTCAAGCCCTGCTTCGGCTTGGGCGGCGACAGATAGATGCAGGACGCCACGAAGTTACTGTCGTCATTCAACGGAGTGACATGGATCGGCTCTCCCCACCCGTAGTTCACCTCTGAGAACCCCATAAGTCTCCAATCCGACACCACCAGCGTCCCGTACCCCGGTGGCACCCGGTAAGGGTCCTCCTCCGCAGTCTCCCCCATCATCCAGTCCAAGAACTTGGTGGATATCCTCTCTTTGGCGTCTCGTATCAGCTCGATCACCGCCACCGGCGAGGAACCTGCGATGGTTCCAGCTTTCGCCTTGATTCCCATGGGGTACACGCAGTTGCCGTAGTAGCCTTCCTGCGGCAGCAACCCCCGCAGCAGGTGGCGGGTGTTGGCGGCGAAGCCGAGGTGAACGTCGACGTGGGCGTCGAAGCATATCGCCCGCGTCCGGCACTGCCAGGCCGTGGCCGTGACCACGTCGAAGGTGGAGCACGTCTGGCCCGTCTCCCTCCAGAACTGGTTCTTCACTGCGTCGATGTGGTCGGAGGGGATGTCGAACACGGAGTTCTCCAAGTTGAAAGCCTCGAAGGAGGGTAGTGGAAGACCTGGCGATAGCTTCGGCGGACTGGGGATGGCGTCCCTGCACCAGACTGGGTGGACGACGGGACGAGCGTGGCCTCTTGCGATCTCGGCGACTGCTTTCAAGAACTGGGCTGCTCCGAGGCCGTCGAACACTACGTGGCTCAGCCGGGTGCCCACTGCGAACCCGCCGCATGTGAACTCCGTCACCTGAACGATCGAGAGAAGACACGGCTGGGTGATGTACATCCTGTTGATTTTGGAAGTAGCGTAATGCAAACAGTGTCACGTTCGGCTCGTGAAAGCCAACCATGCAGTGTCTTACATGAGCCTATATATGAATCCACCTTCATTGCCAACACTTACCACATGAGTCAGTCAGATTATATATATTAAGATAAACTTACGTCTTAATAAATTTAACTTTTTAGATTAAATTAATTTCTAATAAGCGCTAATCATAGAATTGATTCACGATAGTTATCTAGATAGTTGTTATGTTCTAAATATGATTTAGATTATGACTCATGATGGGAGATAATACCTACATTCACTTAATAGGTAGTTACCATCAGGTACTATAAATATGATCATAGTTCATAAACAAGAAGAGGTATGTACTTGGAAATATTTTATAAATGTTCTATGACTTACATCTTGTTTAATACTAAATCAATTTTCTTGATCGAAAGCATTCTATCTTAATTGCTTTGTAGTATTCTATTTTTATCGTTCTCTATCTCCAACAACTCTTAATAGAATGAGTTTGATTCGTGACTTAATAAACTTAATCTTTTAGATTATGTAGACTACAAGACTCATCATCCATTTTAAATTATCGATAAGATGATCTCCAGCGTTCTTTCTTTCAGATTCTTTGTACAGAATTAGTGTCATAGTTTCCTTCCGCTTATAGGATTCTGTCATATTCAAACTAATTTAATTAGTACCTCAGAAGAAATGATGTTATCTTAACGCCGATGCCGAGGAAAGCGTGTATCAAAACATACGTACCTGCATCATCATGATCAAATCTTCCTCTTTCACTTCAGCGGGAGCGAATGGGATGAGCTCCTCCTTGGGCAGCAGGAGGGGGCGCTCCAAGTTGTTGACATCTTTGAGATTGCAATCCACGGAGGCCTCAACGAACCACACGCCTTCGCCGGTGCAGGCGACCTCGGGCTCGCCGGGGCGCGGCTCGAAGATGCGTCCGGCGACCGGGTAGTAAGGGACGAGAGCCCGGGAGAGCGCCGCCTTGATGGCCTTCGCCGGCGCCAGGCCTTGCTGGAACACAAGTATCGTGTCCGCCAGGACTCTGACTGCTGCAATCCGGTCCATGGAGGAGAGCGGGAGGCGGCCGGACGGCGTTGGCTCGGCGGCGGCCACGAGCTCCGGGACGAGCTTGTTCACGGAAAATCTCATGGTTGCTACAGTTGCTTCAGTGCCTCAGCTTCAGATGCTCTGCCATGAGGCGATGTTGGTGACCATATAGTGAGAGAAAGGAAGGGGATGGTGTCAGGGATACCGCTATCTAATATTATCTAATCTAGTCAAACGAGAACGTTAGATTCTCTAAATTATTTACAAGTCTACAGTGTGAGTGGAATCTTCTCATTCTCATGGGGGTACCAAGTCAATTCGAAAGGGTTTTCCTATTGGCGTTGACGAATAGGTGTCACCATAAAATATTAAAGGCGAAAACTTAGTTTCTTCTTTAATGTCCATTTTGGCACTTAGCGCCATAAACTAAGTTCATCCCACGGAGCTCCAGCCGGGGCCGCCGAGGTTTGCTTATTCACGGATAAGCTCATGGTTGCTACAGCTAGCTGCTTTGATTTCTCGGCTTACAGGCTCTGCCATGAGGTGGTTGTGGTGGTGGTGGTGGTCATTATATATGTATTCATGCAGAAGGGGATGAAGCGCATTTGACCCGCTCGGGTATGGGGCTCTCCACCCGACCCTGCTGCTGAACATGGGACGCGTGCGTCAGACGCTGGAGAAAGTGCGTCGGCGAGTTAGAAGCAATGATTGACGAGGCCGTGCAGACCGGCGAATCTCACTCGAATGAGGGTGTTGGACATCCTGGCCGCACACCATGTCCCGTTAGTCACCTCACCAGTTTGTACAAACGTCTGTTCTCTCTCTCTATATATATATGTATGTGCTGTCGCTGACGTTGGATGCGTGCGTATAAATCATACCGATGGGGATTTTGGATAGGTGAGTGAGAACAAGAGAAGAATTGCGCCGTCTGTACAGACTTGCCAATCCCACTTTCATGTATAAACGAAATTGAAGTGTATCTCTTTCTGTCAACGAAAAGAGAGTATTTTGTGACTTCCGCCGAATTCATTAACATCTATCTGCATGAGCATGGAATGTTGGAGCATATGGGTAGTCGAGTGAAGAACAAGTGATGAATGATGCTGTGCTGATTTTTCTGACCATTTGCAGTATTCATTGGGTAGTAAATGTTTAATGCACCACATTAGCTTCCCCACAATAACATATTGTCTTTACTTCGTGTGACTACCACCCTATTGGGTTGATAGCTAAGGTGGACTTTATCAACATATAGTTTACTTCCTCTTAATCTAATCATAATTTATATTAGGGGAGTGTGGTGGCTATTAAAATAAGATAAAAAAAAAGACAGTAATAAGGTGGTTTTTAGTAGCCATGAGATTCCAAAGAAAATGAGAAGAACAAGACAGAAAATGAAACGAAAGAAATGGAAGAAGACAAGGATAACACAAAGTGACTATTCTCAATCATCCAGTAGTGCTTTCATCTCAGGTTAGATCAGATCTATAGTAGATTCTTACTGTGATTACTTAGAGAGAATTAGGAAGGATTTAGATATTGTGCACAGTGACGTGATCCTTTATCCTAGTTATTCTCTTGTGATTGTTGCTAAGATTTTGGGCAAGAGATTGAGATTTGTATATTTATTATTATTATAATGGATTATCTCTAGTTTGTCCCGTGGTTTTTACCCTTCACATTGAATGAGTTTGCTTGCTAATATTTATTCATATACAAAAATTATTTCTCTTTATATTCCATCAACTGGTATCAGAGCAGGGTTATGATGATTTAATTTTTGTATTTGAAGGAGGCCAGTAGTATTTCTTATATGATTAGTTTGAATGAAAATAATTAGATGATATGAAAATCAAGAATCGAAGATATCTTGTATTGCAAAGATTTGTATGGACCTTTGCAGAGAGATAGTGCAAAACCCACAACTATATCAGATGATGAGTGGAAGATGTTATATCAAAAGACAGTAGGTTTATTCGACAGTGGCTTGATAATAGTGTCTTTCATCATGTTTCTACTGAAATTTCTACATATTCTCTTTCGAAAAAGTTGGAAAGTCTCTATGAAAGAAAAACAGTTGACAACAAAGCTTTTTTGATAATAGTGTTGTCACCATGAGTCAAGTAACAAGCATTTTATTGAATAAGGAGTTGATAAGAAAGAATTCAGTAACATCTAAAAATGATTCACAAGCACTTATCTCAGAGAACAGAGAAAGGTCAAAGTCTAGAAGCAGTTCACGCGTGGGTATGAGCAAATCAAGATTAAGAAAAGATATTGTTTGCTATAATTGTGGTGAGAAAGGACATTACAAGAACCAATGTAAGCAACATAAGAAGAGCAAGAAAAATGGAAAAGAAGTGGAGTCTACAGAGTCAAAAAATAATATCACAATTATAGTGTAGGGTGGTGATTATTTGATTTTGTCTTATTCTGATAATATTTTTTTTGTGTTTATTAGGATCTTAAGTGGGTGACTAACACAGGTGTTTCTTATCATGCTATACCATGGAGGGAGTTTTTTGCTACATACAAGTATGAAAATTTTGGTGTTGTCAAGATGAGCAACTACGGCATAGCAAACATCATTGGCATGAGTGATATGTATTTAAAGACCAACATTGGTTGCAAATTAGTGCTTAAGGATATGAGGCATGTGATTTGACTTTGCTAGTCATAGGTGCCCAGTTAGCTAATCACGTGAGTGATGACACGTGTGACTTGACACGGAATCTTTTTACTTATTATATTTTAACATTTATCATTTTATATTGACTGTTGCATATATACATGTATATATTGTGATGTCTTTGGATCTGTGCAATATGAATCAGATCGTGATGAGATCACGATAATGAGACTGATTCACTTTTAAACACATATCCTAAATAATCCCGGTCATAGGTTACTCGAGAGAGACATCGAGATAATCGTATAAACTGGTGTACTGTATACCCATCCATATGATGGATGCAGTTGGTCTCATAGCTGCTTGTGTGAGGACACTAGGGATACAGTACAGGTGCTCATTAGAGAATGAGTTCACTGATTGATCCGCTTATGGAATGCTGGATGGTTAATGATACCTTATTGTCAGATAACGATTCCGTAGTCCTAGTGGTGTATCTTGTCCTTAGATTTGAGATACCAAGGATGTCCTATATTAGTGCTCCGCTCTTTGATACCAGACTTATATGTTTGGATGTCCCAGATCTAGTACAGTTGGTCATTGGGAGTAACAGTTGACCTTACGAGAGCTATTGAGTATCGATAGAGGATCATCCACTCTTGGCGTCATGAGAGGAGCATCCTATGCGTTCTTGCTCAGACAAATCCCTGGCCATGGTCATTCGGATTGAGAGAGAAAGAGTTATCGGGAAGAATCCAATTAGAGCAAGACTCGAGTAGAAACTATATGGGTCTGATAGTACCATGCCCGATATACGATCTCTAGAATATTATCTCAGTTGAGAAATATCACATACTCATTTGTAGAGTATCGTCGCCCCCAAGATTTCTTAACATGTTTAAGCTTTGGAGGTGAACCATCTATGTTGACAGGTTACACAGATGTAGATATGGCAAGAGATATAGATACGAGGAAGTCCACATTAGGATATGTACTTACTTTTGCAAGAGGAGATGTGTCATGACAATCCATATTACAAAGGCGTATTGCTCTCTCCATCATAGAGACAGAATATATTGCTGCTACAGAGGTTTACAAAGAAATATTATGGATAAAAGAATTCTTACAAGAATTGGGACTTAAACAGGAAACTATATAGTGCATTGTGATAGTCGGAGTGCTATCCATTTGTGTAAGAACCCAATGTTTCATTCCAAGTCAAAGCATATAGATATCAGATACCACTGGATTTGAAATGTATTGAAGAGAAATAGTTGCAGTTTTAGAAAATTCACACAGATGACAACGAAGCAGACATGCTAGACAAAGAATTTACTAAAAGAAAGACAGGAGATATACTGATAGCTGGTCGGCATGGCTTCACATTGAGGAGTCATAGGACAACCCTCCTTATGGGCTGAAGGGGGATGTTGTTGGGCTGACAGCCCATATTCAGCCCAATGTGAGCTTTATCAGCCCACAACTCATCCCCTCTCAACATAACCCTAATTTATATTAGAGAGGGTGTGATGGCTCTAAAAAGAGGCAGAAAAAAGCAGTAGCAAGGTAGTTTTTGGCAGTCACAGGATTCCAAAGAAAAGGAGGAGAACAAGGCAGAAAAGGAAGAAGACAAGGATAACACAAAGAGATTGTTCTCAATCATCTAGCAGTGCTTTTATCTTATGTTAGATCAGATCTACAGTAAATTTTTACTGTGATTACTTGGGAAGAATTATGGAGAATTTAGATATTGTGCACAGTGATATGATCTTTGTATTCCAATTATTCTTTTGTGATTGTTGCTGGAGTTTTGGACAAAAGATTGAGATTTGTATATTCATTATTATTATTATGGATTATCTTTAATTTGTCCTATAGTTTTTATCCTTCATACATAAAAATTATTTTTCATATATATTTTAGTGTTCTATTTTATTGTGATTCCATTTAATTCCACTGCATGTTATATTATGCTAATATTTATTTATACACAAGTTATTTCGACACCTATATAAGAGGTACTACGAGTGCTTTCAACTAAAGCTAATAATTATGAGTTCTTTCAACTAAAGCTAATAATTATAGGAGCTTAGCCGAAAGCTGAAACGCCAAAGGGTTTTAAAAGCTATAGGACATTTATTGCTTTGGTTAACATTATCTTTGTATGTGGTGGACTTCAGAGAGATGCTTCTTAATCATTAATTGTTCGGGAAATGAGTAATGTGGTCGGTGTAGTGCTGCTACCGATGAGTCACAATGTTCATCTATGAACATTTCAGGAAAGCTCCGGCAAGCCGTGCGACGTGCAAACCTGTTGATCTATGTACGACTTCCACGTAGAACAACATGAGCAACAAGAGATAGGTTGTAGATCGCCATGCATGTACAACTGTTCCTTCAAGGCAGGTGGAGGGAGGATGGTTGCAGTCATGCTAATTATGGACAAACTTCATCGTCTCTTCGGTGAAGGCCGGTAGATGTTCCTTTTGAACACATCGTGTCAGCAACCTCACGCCCTGCTTCGGCATGGACGGCTGCAGGTAGATGCAGGAAGCGATGAAGTTGCTGTCGTCATTCAACGGTGCGACATGGATCGGCTCTCCCCACCCATAGTTCACTTCTGAGAACCCCACCCGGCTCCAATCCGACACCACCAGCGTCCCGTACTCCAGCGGCACCTTGTACGGGTCGTCCTCCGCGTCCCCCATCATCCAGTCCAAGAACTTGGCGGACATCCTCTCCTTGGCGTCTCGTATCAGCTCGATCACCTCCACCGGCGAGGAACCAGCGATTGTCCCGGCGGTCGTCTGGATCCCCATGGGGTACACGCAGTTGCCGTAGAAGCCTTCCTGCGGCAGCACCTGGCGCAAAAGGTGGCGGGTGTTGGCGGCGAAGCCGAGGTGCACGTCGGCGTGGGGGTCCAAGCCTATCGCCCGCGTCCGGGACTGCCAGATCATGGCCGTGACCACGTCGAAGGTGGAGCACTTCTGGCCCGTCTCCCTCCAGAACTGGTTCTTCACCGCGCTGATATGGTCGGAGGAGACGTCGAAGACGGAGGTCTCGAAACGGAAGGAAGCGAGGGAGGGTGCGTGTCCTCGCGATAGCTTCGGCGGACTGGGGATGGCGTCCCTGCACCAGACTGGATCGACGACGAGACGAGCGTGGCCTCTTGCGATCTCGGCGACCGCTTGCAAGAACTGGGCTGCTCCGAGGCCGTCGAACACTGTGTGACTGAATCTGATGCCCACTGCGAACCCACCGCATGTGAACTCCGTCACCTAACGCAACACACGGCATTCAAAAAGGTCTTGAGTTGAATCATTCGACCAAAATGACCTTTCTGCGTTCAATATTGGATCAAATCGGTGTCATAATCTCCCAAATAAATTTAGCTTTTTGCCGCTTGTTATTGAATCAGAGAGAGACTCGAACGACAAACAACAATGCACAGTGTTGCTTTTTTTTGGTAGACGTGATGATTGCAAACAATGTCACGTTCGGGTCGTGAAAGCCATCTGTCCAATTTACGTAAAGCATGCAGAATCACATGAGCCTGATGGCTTCTCTACAGTTCAGTCGGCAGTAGCACAGGAAGAGGAAAAGCTTAACACCGCTACGAGCTAAGCAGGGAGTCTTAGGGAAAACGCACATTGATTGGTACGTACGTACCTGCATCATGAAGATCAAGTCTTCCTCGTTCACGTCAGGGGGAGCAAATGGGATGAGCTCCTTCTTGGGCAGCAGGAGAGGGCGCTCCAGGTTGTTAACATCTTTGAGACTGCAATCCACGGAGGCGTCGACGAACCACACCCCGTCGCCGGTGCAGGCCACCTCGGGCTCGCCAGGGATCGGCTCGACGATCCGCCCGGCAACGGGGTAGTAAGAGACGAGAGCACGGGACAGCGCCGCCCTGAAGGCCTTCGCCGGCTGCACGCCTTGCTTGAACACGAGCATCAGGTCGACCAGGATCCTGACCACCGCGGTGCGGTCCATGCAGGAGAGCGGGAGGTGGCCCGACGGCGTCGGCTCGGCGGCGGCCACGAGCTCCGGGGCCAGCTTGTTCACGGAGACGCTCATTGTCGCTGCGGCTGCTATAGATGTCGCCCGTGAAGCGATGGTAATCAATCTCTATATATATATAGAGAGAGAGAGAGAGAGGACAAGGGGCACTGAATTGTCCGCGAGTTTGATGAGCATGGGATGCGTGCCTTCGTATACATCATATTGTTGGGAAATGTGTGGGTGGGTGGATGAGAAGGACATGCGAATCTCACTGTATATTTAATCTGAATCCGAAGTTTGTGTCCTTTGCTCGACGAGAGGATTATGTTATGCGTTGTGTCCTATATATTCAGCAATAATCACACGCTTTCAAAGGCATGCATGTCCAAAAGTACTCAATGGAAATCTAATCAGCCAAGGTCTAAAGTTAGAGAGACTTGGTTTCTGGTCCTTGTTTCACTGAAAGGAGTACTTTTTACCCAAAGCCAGTCATTGGGTCATTCCAATACTTGGCATTAGTTATTTAGTTTGCCTTCAGAGAGCTTTTGGCTTGATCTGTATCTTTTGTGGTTGCATGCAGTACACTTGTGTCTCCGATAATGATTCCTAATTATTATTCTTGGAGGTGAAGCGATAAAGAAGAGGAACAGTAGTGAATGATGAAAGTGGTAGGTATGGTGCTGCTGCTGATCATGCCATGGGCCAAACACCCATGCCAAAGCTCACCGTGACACGTCGAGGTAGACCCCTCGGCAGCCTCGATAGACAATAGAGTTTGTGGCCGAGCCAAACCTAGTGGGAATTTTGGATGATGATGGTGGCGGTGGGAGAGTTTAGTGGCTCTGCAACTTCACTTTTTGGATAGAAGAAGGAAAAAGTAGAGCACTTAAACCAGTATTGAAGAAGGCGCTGATGTCTGACATCTTGTAGCACGTTTGTTTGTGTCGGTTTCTTTCTTCGTTGCTATCTATTCGGGAAGCATAAGATATTAAAATTATATAATTTTATTTAATTAATTAAAATATATTATAAATATAATTAAATATTAATTATGATTATCGATCTATAAAAAAAATTATGATAAAATTTTTTAGGAAATAATCTTGATATGAGAAACTCTCATAATTATTTATTCTAGATCCTCTACTCTCATTTATAAAAGAATAATATATCTTAGGAACTTAAAAGTGAAAAATATAAATACTTATCATTATTGAGAGATTATATATTTTCTCTCATATTCTCTTTCTTCATAATCTATGACTCGTAATTATTCTTTAAAGGATAGAAGGCAAGTATATTTCTCCTTACAAATCGATATCACATAGCTTTCATATCCGATGATGATATGACCACATATTAGAAAAAAAAACTTTCTGAATGATATCGAAAGGTATATATTATAAAATTGATCTATTATAATTTGATTTCAGATTTTGATATTAAATTTTTTGATATAACGATAGCATAAGATGTTATATTTACAATTAGTATTAGAGTCATATTTGTGCAATCAAATACTTTATATCTATTTGTTAGCACCTTTCACTTATAAATATATGTTTTTCAATTTTTATTTACTATGCATGAACGATTCACTTGTATTGTTGATCTACTTTTCTATCCACCATCCTATCTCTTACTTGTGGATGATGTGAGGTTCCTCATGCTTGATTGATGGATTACTATCGACAGTTTACTATCAACAATAGTATTGTTAAGGGCGACAATCTTTGGAGCTCGTCAACCTAGTCACGAGCAATAGCTGTGTACCCAGTGGAAGCACCATGGGGTGCGATAACCCTACAATGGCTATGTAGCTCTACTGCGAACCGTGGCTGCAATAATTCCATTGCAACAACACTTGCTGGCCATGATCGGTGTCAACTGGATGTTGAAGGTTGCGGTTCCCAATGACTATGTAGCAGGATGCATGGGTATAACCGTACATTGTGGTGACCATGGGGGTCGCCAATCAATGCGTGTGTATAGTTGAAAGTTTATTATAAGGTTAAGCTTATGCCAAATTAGATATTAGTTTTACAATTAAAATATTGGGTATATATTAAAGTTACTCAAGAATAAAAATAGTAAAAGATTGTAAAGAAAATAATAAGATATGTAGAAATTAGATTAACTTAAAATGATGATATTTTTTATGTATCGATTCTTTAAATTACCTTGATAATAGGAAATCCATTTTAGGATTTATATCTATGTCAGTTGGAGGGGCAATTTACAGAAAAAAAAAGTATATAAAATAATATATTATTATATTATTAATAATAGAAACTAATTTTTTGATATTCTTTGAGGCCACTAATCAAGCTTTGTGACTGTAAAATTTTATTTCATGACTTAGTATGATTAGACCCAATTGTCAAATTATTGAAAATACTTTGTGACATATTATAATAGTTTTCTTCTTTAAGAATGATAAGTGCTATTGTAGCTCTATGCATTATGGTATAAAATACTTGATGGTTAGAGAAAAAAAGTCCAAAAATAATTAATATTAATTAAGAACTTGAGTTCCATGTATTAATTGTTTGATCCATTCATTTATATATTTGAAAAAAATATGTTCTTATAATTGGGTTTATAAACAACCTATAAAAGATATGGTAAAACATGTTTGAGTGGACATTATAATTGATATTCTTATTTATTTACTTAAAGTTATTTATTTCTGTTATACTATTTATATTTATGTATGTAGATTGAATATGATAGCAAAATTATCTTGATAAAATAAATTACAAGGATCATTTTGGATTACATTAGGTAGGGCTAATAGTATTGTGGCATATCAAAGAAAATATGATATTAATTATATATAATCACTATGACTTGTATTAATCGTTAGACTTAATGTGACATTATGTTTATTATATTTATTGACCTATTTTATAAAATTCTTATGCACATGTAAAATATTTTTTAAAAATTTTAAAATCTAATTAAATAATTATTTTAAATAAAATTTTATTTTATTTATTATATTTTAAATCTATTTTATATCTTACTAATTAATGGACTAAGCGGGAAAATGTTATATTATGTAGCACTATTTAATTAGGTAAGATATATTATGGATATAATGAATTCTGATTATGGTTATCGATCAATAGAAAAAGAAGTCCAATTATAGTAAGATTTCCTAAGAGATCGATCGTGATAGAAATGACTCTCCTAATTACTTATCCTAAGCCTTCTGTTCTCACCTATAAAATAATAAGATCTCATAGTGACTCAAGGTGTAGACATGTATATGTTCAAAGATCACAAATCTTCTCTAATCTCTTATTAGTCACATAAATCGATATCACTATATTAGATAAAAGTTTTTTGAATAATATCGAAAGGTATAGATCGTAAATTTGATCTATTATTATTTGATTTTAAATTTTAACATTAAAATTTTCATATAATAGTAACATAAAAATAATTTTTATACTTACCCAAGGCATACCTACATCAAGGTGTGGGTCTCGCTAGTTGACCCATCATTACATCACCGTGATCAACTGTACAAGGGAACCTTTTGAAGGCATTACACACAAGCTCTCACTTTCGATGCACGCGAAACGATTCAACAAGCAAAATAACATCCCGGTTTACCTCACGATGGATGAAAATATTAATATTAACTTCAACTTAGATCTTTTGATCTTGGTACTAAGGGATCATGACAATTGATATTATAATTAAGCCAGAGTGCAGTTGCTGTTTTTACGTTTCATCTTTCCACAGCTTAGTTCTAAAACAGTCGATAAACTTCAATTATGGAGCTAATATACATGTACATATTAGATAAAGATTTTGGAAGTCCAACCGGAAATAACTACAACCTATAGATTCCAGCCTCCGTACCACCGCATTTATAGGGAGCAATTTGGCTCACTCTTTACCATGGTCTTCTATGCTCATCTTCCCGACCAAGGTCGATCGAGTGGTCTTGCCATCATTCCGCAGCTGCTCTTTTCGGTCCAGATTCTAACTGGCAATATTAAAGTTATATGAAGGATGACTTTTAAGCTCACATCACTTAGTCAACCCTTATGATACTAGGAGATCAGCAAGAAAGAGGAGGTACCGAGATCGGTTTTGTTGCGCCACACCTTAAACAGAGTCATTCCAAATGATCATATGATCCAGAATTGTGATCACGCTGACCCATCCAGCCATTTCCACCTTCTGAACTGCTGCAGGCTTGTTTTGGGAGGATGTTGTTTGCTAGATCACCAGTCAAGCTCATCTGTTGGACTTCCTGTGGTGATAGTATCTTAATGCACTGTACGCAGTTCACAAATTCCCTGCACATTGACAATCCCATGTCACCCTCGCATGAAAATTCTATGGAAAACCATTTTAGACTCAGATGCTCCCTACATCACTTCTGGAACTTAGTACTCAATGAAAGGAACTACGCATAAAGATGTTACGACTTACTCCCATGGGTCGTCACCAACAAGCAGAACATCTTTCTCATGATCAACGTAGACGAGCTTCCAACCAATTTTCTGCAGATCTTCGAGCTGTCCTATACTGAACATGCGGGCAATATCATGTTTGAGCTCATCATAGCCTGAATAACGAGTAATATCTATTGACCTGCCAACAGCTCCACGCTTGTGAACCTAAAAATGGCACAATTTAGGTTTGCTTTGAGAAAAATGGAAATGATGAACACCAGCTATCACCATGAACAAATTTATAAACATGAAGTAGAAAACATTCAAAATTATAAATTCATCAGATGGTCTGCTTTATAATCTAGTCATAGAAGTGGTATCATTTAACATATATTTCCAACAAAATCAGGGAAACAACAGGTATTTACATGTCTGTCATTTCACACAAAACCAGAACAACAAAGATTGAGGCTACTACTAGTAGTGCTAATATATGGGACTTTAACCTTAAGCCATATATTTCATAAAGCCTTTTGCACCAAAAGAATAATTTGGAAAACAGTCTTTTGATGTATATGAAAAAATATTTCAGATACTCCTAGAAGGTCTTGCTTAAACTTGAAGTAGTTAAATATTAGGTCTTCATCAGTAGGTAGATTTGGCAATCGTTTCTCTTGCTAGTAACTAAAAAGCAGTAGTTCACTTTTGTTTCAAGGTGCTAAGAAGAATTAATTGTGAAATATATTTGAACCAAGCAGAGTAGGATGGATCAAAATTTTCCCATTCGACTATGGAGGTATAATAATTAGCTTCCCACTTGACAGCAATGATATCATAGCATGTGTATGTGAAACCACAAACCTTGGTGTAAGTCCGCATTCGCTGAAGAGGTGGTGCAGGTGCCCAGCAACTTGCATTTAATAAGCTATTCTCATTAATTGTCGAATCGATAGAATTGAAAGCCAGGTCCGGAACGCCAAATGAATGAGAGACCAGTGAAGACGATAGCTCTTGATGAACATCGTTTGAGATATTGTAGTTTGAGATCATATTACCGGGAATGTGATTCTGGTACTTCTCTGAAGCAATGCTAGTCGCTAGTGATGCATCAGTTGCAATAGCTATGCCCAATGGTCCATCAACGTTGACACCCATAAGGGCACTGCTCCTTGGATCTGTGCCTTGGACATCATCATCCGGAGGGATATCTCTAAGCATCGATGGCTGGTTGAAAGATGTTAATGGGAAGGTTCCAGTCTGAGAAAGACAAACCGAAGTAGCTGAAGAAGTAGTGTCCAGGTAATCCAGCTGGACGGCGTCGTTAATGTAAGCTTGAGGATCCACAGCTCCCTGAGATTGCACCTTGGAAATTGGCACCGAGGGTTTCAGGTCCTGTACAGCTTTAGGCAGCTCCTTAGCTATGTTAAGGTTTGCAACTGAAGCTTCAAAGGAGCTTGGACTGAGCATAGTAACTAGTTGATTCTTTTCTGTCGACACAGGGTTGCGCAGACGAGTCCAATTTAAAGTTGACTGAGGAAGAACAACACCATTGTTTGCTGAAGGTGATGTAGAGCAAGATGGGATGTCATCTGTAACCACCGAGTGTGCACCTCCAGTAGCTAACAAAGAGCTGCCATTAGCCAAGATCGGATTGGTTGCTGAAGTTGCAGGGAAAGTTATTCCAGGCAAGTCGGCTAGTAGAACTTGCTGCTGCTGAAGCTTCTGCTGTGACTGGGTCTGCAAGGATTGCGGCAGCTGGACACCCGGTGAAGTCATCTTTGCACCTTGTCGAGGGGTAACATGTGGCTGAGCCAATGAACGGGGGGAGTCCAAAAGTTGCTGTGATACTTCAAGCAACGTCTTCTGCTGTTCTTGAATTTGATGTAATTGGGTTTCCTGGACTTTTGGTTGTGACAATAATGAGGGTTGCTGCTGTAGCTTCTGCACGAGCTGAAACTGAATTCGAGGATCAGACACTTGTAATTGCTTGTTTGGTTGGTTTGCGATATCGACAGGTATCCTACTCTGCTGCTGCTGGAGTGGAACTGGTTGCTCAGGTCTTTGTGGCTGGGTTTGCAGGAGGCTGGTTTGTAATACCTGGGGGTTCTGAATCACCGGACATTGCTGTTGAACTGAAGGTTGGACAAGTGACTGAGATTGAAGAAGACTGGCCTGGTTTTGGGTCAAGGGAGATGCTTGGGTGAGCATGTGTTGCCTCTGCTGTAGACTGAAATCTTGAAGTTGCTGCTGTGGTCTGCTAACAACACTGGATTGGTTCAGAGAGCCGGACAATTTAGGTAATTGGTCGACTTGGGATTGCCGAGGCAATCCAAGTGCACCAAAATGTATATTATTCTGCTGCAAAATCTGAGCCTGCAGATGCCTTGAGAAGTCACTCGATCCAAGGTTTTGTACAACAGGTCCACTCAAGGAGCGCAGGCATTCATTCTGCATGGCTGAGTTAGCTAGTGAGGGATTCTGCTGCATGCTCATCCATTGAGCTAAGCTTAGACCAGGCATTATAGCATTCTGAGATTGAGAATCCTTTATGCAGATCTCCTCGTTAAGCCAAGGGATTGCCCTCTTAAAAAGATTTTCCATTTCTGATGACTCATCGTCTGCAAAATTAGCAGTTAAATCAGTATTCTAGCTATTTCATAACACAAACTATAGATATGAAATTGCAGTTTCTCTACAACTGTCCTTTCTTTTTCAACTAAATCCAAACATAGAAATCCAGTGTTCACCCCTCCCCAGCCAAAATAGTTTTATGAAACTTTTTGCAAATTTATTCTGTAGAGTAGTTCGACTCAAGCTTGCTGAAAATTCTCTGATGATTTAGTTCACTCGTATACAATATTTATTAATATTTTTCTCTCTATAAATACCTGGAATACCTGGTTGTCTAGGACGCTTCCGAAAAAATGGTGGAGGGCAGATAAAGAAAGGTGCTGCAATGGGCTCAATGTTCCATATGGAGACCCTACTGGGCCTCTCACCAGCTGCGCACTCATCCCACCCCACCTGTTGGATCAATAAAGCATTGTCAGAAAGAAACAAAATTGGAGGAAAAAAGTCATTGGATTCATCAAGTAAAATGAACTTGTGAATGATATTACTCATTGAGCTTTAAAGAAACTGCTTAATTGAAAATGAAAATTAACCTTCAAATTACGCCATTGTGAGTTCTTCCACCTAACAACATCCAGATCACTTATCTCTGTGATTGTACCCATGTACCTGCAAGGTTTAGGAAGTAACTACTCTGCAAAGCTAGTTAAGTTGATGAGACCTCGCCACAAAGTGGTGTAGATGTAAAAGGTCAAGTTCATGAGGGAATCAGTCCTCAATTAAGTACCAGAAAATAAATATAATTTGCTTTAGTGGAGTATTATAGAATTAAAACGAGATGTCCATTTGGTTGCAGTCATCATGTATCAAAAGTGGTTAACATGACATAATCAGATAGTAGTAGTATAATACCTCCTTGTTCCTGATTCTTCAGTTTCGAACATCATGCGGAAGCGCATGCCAAGAGATACTTGATTGCTGTATATTGCCTTCTGGTACTTAGCAAAAGGAATGACAAATTCTGAAGGACTAGTCCTGCAGATAAAAAGGTGAGCAAAGCCATAGTAAATAGTTTAGAAAAGATGCAGTTAAACTATCGAAGATAAGCCTTGCCGACACTAGACAAATAAAGAAATTAAAATTAAAACCTTGGATTATAGAATACAGTGAAGGGACTATTATTCGCAGCAGCATGAGCTGCTGCAGCAAGAATTCCAATATGCATGCTGTCACTCGACAGGACTGATGATGATAGGTTAGTAGGTTGCCTGTTAGCACGTCTGATGCCTAAAAGTAGTTGTTGTTTCTCATCCCTGCTCACAAAGACGACAAAAGAAAGCACATTAGGTTTATAGAGCAATGACAAATTTAGAGTCCACTATGAAAAAGAATGTAGAACTCAGAGAAAATGATTGATGAAAAGTGGGGAAATAGCAAGAATAAAATGAAAGAAATATAAGAAATCATGTGTTTACAAGTGAAGAAGGAAAAACATGAAAGGACTGATCATTAGCTATTTAGGACTGTAACTAATTACCGACGAACCTACGTGCTTTACAGCTTACATAAACAAGAAAAAAATTGGGTTTGAATTTTTGCTTCGTAAGAGAAACTACCCGAAGGAAAACCATTGTACCTAATAAATAAGACAGAATCACCAGCAAAGAGCCTCTTTCCACTCACAAATAGGCTCCAACCAGTTGTAAGTAAGTGCCTTTTTGGCTGACCTGATATCACACGTAGACAAGATAATAGTATCAAAAAGGCATAGTAGAAGAAGAAATATACGAGTAAATGAATTAAAAAGAATCAATGAGAAAGTAGGCATACTTCAGCAGGTAATCAAATTGTTTCGTTGACAAGAAAAGATGATTAGACTCAAAACACCAAAAAAGAACTTCTAACATATCATTCCAATTGACTTAATTGCTTACCTCGATAGATATGGCGGAAGGTCCATAGATTGTCATGCAAGTCTCTGGCCTGCAATTCTTGAGCAGGTGGCTGCATCGAGAAATCCTAAGTCATGCAAAATTGACGTTTGTTAAACAACTGCCATCATCTTGAATCATATGCAGAGGGTTGTGGGTAACAATAAAAGTTGCATACAAGTGGCGGAAAAATCTTTTCTGCAGCACGACGAGGAACAGAGAAACCTCCATGAGTGCTTGTATCACTTGCGGTAAGTGTTTTACAAAAGAATTCTGTCTGAGGCCTTGTCTGTTTCAAAGCTAGATCTGATGTCTGCAATGCCTCTTTATCATACTGGAGAGCACAAACAAATAACATTGTTGAGACTTGAGAATACAACCATAAATTTGTAGTGCAGGGTGCATTGCCAAATAGAAACAGGTATCATTCATTATTCTAGATAGACTAAAAGCATTAAGCACAGCTATGACTGAAATTTGCATTCCAAATTCAACACTAGAGCAAATTTCTTATATCGATAGAGAAAGATCTCCCACGACATAATTATTTTAATTAGCACATCTAGCATTAGATAATTGGTGCACTGAGCAAAGAGACTGGTTCATTATCGAATATAGTGACGTGAACATAGTGATGACAGAGGAAACCAGTCATAATAATGTTCTGAGCACCTCAAAGTTAAATTATCAGCTTGCTATATACATTGAGTTACATGGTGAAGGATAATTGAAGCATCTATTGAGAAAACAACAATGACATTCACTCACCGTATTAACTGGCTGGAGGGTGATTTGAGCATAGACCTCATCTGTATCTGGATCTGCCTAAAACATTTTTTAACATCAAAGAACGTCAAAGGTGATCAACGAACGTGCTTATATGTTATCATCTATAGAGAACAAGACAGAGAAAAAGGTGAAACATACATGCAGAGTAACATTGTGAAGAAGGCATATCAATTTCGAAGGAAGATTTGGGTAGTTTGGAATGTGAGCATCAATATCCTTTTGCATGGAAGCTGCAACCTGATGGTTAAAAATGATATTATATTCTGCACGTAGTTGCCAAAAATATTTTGTTGACAATCATCAATACAAAAATTAGAAATCTTTATCTTGTTTCCAGAAGCAAATGATGTCTCAAGCAACATATTTATAAATGGTTAATTTACCCAAGGTTCGCAATACCGTACCGTATCGGTATTTCGATCTGAGCTCGGTACCGATACGGTACGGTATACCGAGCGGTACACCCATGTGTATCGAGTACTGTAACACTGCTACAGTGCACTCGGACCGGTAACAGGCAGTCCACGTACCGACAACCTATCGGACCGGTACGTACCGCCCGTACCGGGCGGTATAGTTCGGTACGACGGACCCTGCATTTACCAATACACCATGGTAGATCCTAGACCTAAAAGAGCATAGGAAGAGAAGTAGGCGTGCTTTATTTTCAGTTTTCCTTGATGTCAATCGAACTTAATATAACAGAAGTTAGCAAGAAAATTAAGACTTTAACAAATAATATTCAGCTTGAAAGAGGCTGCAAGTGCCAACACCAAGACCAAAACACTTCCATTAGTGGTAGGAAAGTGATGTATCACAAGTATCCAGTTTCAAACAAAATATAACAATTATATTTTCGTTTGGTAGTCAAGTAGAAGCAGAAGCAGCTAGAATACTGAGAGAAAATGAACTTTTAATTTTCTATCAGTAGTTGTTACATGTCAGACTTTGTAGAGAAAAAAGTTGTCATGATATGTAGAACTGGCACTTGTGGTATTGGAAATAACTAATTGAGAGTACAGAATAATTCTATAAAAAAAGCTTTAGGAAAGACACAACATGATGTTGTCAACCAGTACAGCTAAGCACAGGAGGCTACTGAACAGTCATAACGAGTGTCTCCTCCATAGTAAATGATTCATAGACTTGATCCTTGTGGACCATAAGTGATACATGTAATACGCTCTTGAGATGTATTCCTTACTATATGACAACAAAACTTATGCATCATTGGTTGGATTTCAGCAACCAGGACTTCATGAAGACAAGGGTAATCACGCAAATCTTCATCTTCCTAAATAGAAAGTAATTCCTAGGTGGGCTACCTGACAGGAAACCCACCGTAAGGAATTAGAGAGACACATGCTAGATCTTCATTCTGACGAAACAGAAACTGAAGCCAAATATTCTTTCTAGGTCTCCAAGGACCAAGAAATGGCTTCAGCTTACATTGTTTGAGACACTATTTAGATGAGGAAAGCTGCCAAATAATTACCATATGTGAAACCCAGTTCATTTTGCTTGTCCTTAGACCTACTCATTTTATTAGCACCTAAATAACAAAAGCAAAGTGGAAGAAAAGGTGCTTAAATGATTTGTAAAGCATAGGAAAAGAACTAATCATATGAACAAAAAGAAGGAAACAGGAGATGAAGGTACATCTCATTGTCTACATGCTTTATTTTAGGCAAACTGGTCGAACTACCCAAATACAATTACGCAACATAGTAAAGTAATAGTAAAGGAGAATATTGCATTACAACTGAAAAGGACTGGGGAATAGGAAAAAGATCGATGAAAGAAGCCAGTTAGCTGAGTTGGTTCTTTGTACTCTACTTTGTTTGCATTCAGGTAATAAAATTCTCTCTTACTTACCAAAAGAAATAAAGAGAAGAGAAGCTCTGAGAAAGCTCTGTTGAAAAAGATGTTGCGGAGAACAAAGAAAGAGAAAAGAGAATGCAAAGGTGTGAGTTTTTTTCTTTTCCTTTAATAAGATTAAAAGATAAGCTTCCAGCTAACGAAAGAAGAGAAAACTTTCCATGCCTCCTAGGATTCCCAGCACCCAGAAAGCAACCAAGATGAATAACCCGTCCGAAGCTCAAGAAAGCAGAGATCGATGGTAAACCCTTGTGTTCTGCATTACCTGCTCGCTGTGGCCTTGGGGGAAGTAGACAACGAGGCTCCCCACCGGCGGGAGGGCTACCAGCGGTCCGGCGCACGCGTGCCATAGCTCCTTGTTGATCGTCGTTTTCTCCCCTGCCACCACCATTGCCACAAGTGTGAGCTCGACGAGCAACCCCAACCCTCATGAGGGCGGGAGCAAACTCACCTTCACAAGGGTTCCCCGCCGACGCGCCGTTCACGGGACCAATCATCATCCAAGCTGCAGAGAACTCGACCACGGCCGACGATGACGCCACTCACCCTTCGGCCACCCCTTCCCGCCGCGTCATGGTCACAATAACCGACGCCTCAGCCTCCTACGGCTCGACGAGACGGAGGACTACGGAAGGATAGCTAAGTGAGAGAGAGAGGGTGGGGAATCGAGCACCGCCTGGGACGGGATCCGATCTCCCGGATTCCGGCACGCTAGGCCGGTGTGCCGGCAGCCGGGAGAAGAAGGAGACCTGAATGGGGAGGCAACCGGCGAGGGATTCGGCCGCGCGAGCGGTCTCCCGGCACTCCACGGACCAAATAAGAAGTGCAGACGAGAGAAGGAAAAGAGAGCTCTCTAAGTAATATAGAAAAAGGGGTAAATGTCAAATTTATCATTTATTCCCTGTAACCGTTCATATTCTCTTTTTAAGTCCTCTATTTAATAAAATATAATATCCACACACAAAACTATTTACAAATTATATTTATTTATATATATATATATATCCCATAAATAACTTTGAGATGATTGATATGTGAATCACATGAAAGAAAATTACATATACAAAATATTTCACGATAATTTTATTTTTGTAAGGGCGTGTATGACATTTTAATTCTGGGACGGTGGTAATTTTAGTCTAAGGAGGGGCTTGTAACAAAATTTGGCTGAAAACGGCGACGGGTAACCACCTACTCCCACCCGCTTTGTATGGGCTTCGGAGCCCGTTCGGACGGAATTGCCCCTCTCACCGAATCATGCAATCCTACGGTCCACAGCGCACCGGCCAGATATAACCGCATCCTGACACGTGTGAACGCAAGAGTGGGAACCCTCTTGAGGCGGCTCTCCGGTCTTTTAATTTTATTTTACTAAAATTATAAATCATTTTCTGGGTTGAAATTTATTTTTCCTTATTTATATTTCCTTAATAATTTTTTTTAATATTTTTTAAATTTATTTTTTAAGTGATTGTTGATGGTACGACGAGAATATAATGATTAATTAAAAAACGTGACTAGTAGTCTGGAAACGGATCGTACACAAAATAACATCCACCTCGATTTGTCTCCAAGTTCGATGTTTTCATGGGAGATTATTTCTTTAAAGAATATAATTTTCAAGTAAAAGAATATTATGATACATAATCTTGGCAACGTTCACCGATGTAAAAATCCCAAAATGGACGTATTCGCCCGACCTCACCTGTACCCTACTCCGGTAACAAGGGAATAATTTGGCAACCATCGGAGGGGTAAAAGAGTCAAATCGTACCACCGCCACTACGAACGCTTGCGTTCCGACGTCACGTGCCATATTCGTCCGGCACGACCCCGGCCCTCACGGAAAAGAAATGGCAGGCACGCGCTAATCCACGGTTACTATGCCGCTAAGCCGGTGGTTAAGCAAAACCCCACCTATAATGTGATTGGCGCTTAGTTAATTACGGCGCACCTCAACTCTGTGCCCCGTGACGTGGCATGGAAGCGGGGCCCGTTCCCTTTTTTTTTTTTTGGTATTATGAGAGGAAAATTATCCGAACTAATTATTTTAATATTATCTCGGAGCACGAGGGTGGGCCCCGGCCGTGTCCCGCGTCGGAAAGCTACGTGGTGGACCCGAGCGGTTGAATCAGACGTGGAAGATTCGACGGCCGTGATGGGGTCACCTCGGGTTCGCGGCCCACGCGTGCTCTTGTGGTCCTCGCGTGGGCCGGGTTGGGAAATAAGCCGGCTCCGGTCATCATATCGGCTTAGCGAAATGAATTGTTTTGGGTTTCGTTTCGTTTCACGTGGAGGAACCGACGGCCGTGATGCGGTCAGTACTCCTCGGGTTCGCGGACCGCGCGTGCCCTCTGGTCCACGCGCGGGCCGTGTTTCGAAATAAGCCGGCTCCGGTCGTCATCGGCTAAAAAGCCGGTCCAATCTGGCTTCCAGAGAACGACGATCTCAATACGTATTGATAACGACCGATTAAGCATCGGAATCATAACGAAGACCAATTAAACATCGGAATAATTATCGTACAAAAGCCACCTAATATTTGGACACAAGAATGTGGAACTACAAAGAGAATAAACATATTTTTGAATTATTTTATTTGAGTTGGATTTGACCATGCGCAATAATCTCATGAGAAGTCTGTATGAGTCCAGCGACCACCCATCGAATGACTACCTCCTATTGGATGCAGTCATGGGCCCCACTAGCGGTTTCCGTTGGCTTAGTAATCCAAGGTAACGAGGTTGACGGCTGCAAACCCACCAATTACAGAATCCTACAGCAAGCCTATGATGGGACCCGCAACCTGTGACTGGTGAGCGTGGAGACAAGCTAGTGGGTAGATGTCTGCGTCAGCAAGAATTCAGCCGTCATTGACGGAACACGGTCGAGGCGGCGACGGAAAGAACATGTAAACGAAGACCAATCGAAATCAGCCACGTCACGAAGCGACGCCATTTTTCTCGGCGCATCCCATCACAAAGATTCTACCATCCTTTCATCATTAATTCCTCATCACTTCGACTCAATTTATTTTATTTTAATCAATCAACACAGATATGATTGCCATTAATTTGTTTCCTGTAGGCTTGTCCACTATGAATTTATCACGAATTATTCTTAATTGTTTTTTTTGTACAAAATAAAAACACTTAAACTTGTCTATGAATTAAGTATATTAACAGAACATTATGGAAATAACAATGTGTTAACAATTTTGCCGAAAAGGGAGATAATCACTTATGTGGTGAGACCAAATCATCCAAAAACATAATGTCATGGCTTGGAGATATAATGACTAATGTGGTGGAATCTAAAAAAAAAAAAGTTCATGTTATCATGTGTTCATTCTCATTCTTTTATGACAACTTGATTAATATAATGAGTCCTTTTTAATGGTACTATTTGGAGATTATCTTTATCTTTTGTTTTTTTCTTTCCTACTTGCATCCGACGAATCAATCTTTCATATTATATAAGTATTATTGTCCTCCATCCCACAATTTACATTGTTTTTTTTTTAAATTAATTCCATGTTGGGAATTAATTAGCTACACACCCTTGATCTCGCCCTCCTCCAAATAATTGTATCTGAATTCAAGGCATAAGAGAGGGATTTGTTGTTGATGAATTGAATTGTCATTTGACTTGCAATGTATATCTTCATATATAATTGATTTGGTTAGAAGGTGTTGTTTTTATATGGCATATGATTAGGTGTCCTAAGTAGCAACACATGTCTTCGGTTTGCTATGATCATAATGCTAGTCATCTCACCATAAATTTATTGCACCAAGATAAAAATGTAAGGGGAGCTAGCATTTCTAAAGCTCTGATTTTGAATGAAATAATTTGGAAAAGGAGGCACAAATGGGGTAAGAGAAGACATGTAAAGATATATAAGGATAATCTAATCAATGTGAATTTAGAAAAAAATTGATTCTAAAAAATACTTTTTTAGTAGAATTTCAACCGGTCTAACGAATTCTTCTCCAAATCAAAATTTTATTCCAATTGAAAATTTCGATGCTCTATGTCACATTCTATAAATCGTTGATATCGTTTAATAGAACTCCACGATATAGTCATCCCGATAGTTAGATTTTCATTTAGGAGTCATAATATTTATTGATCAATATAATTTTTTTTTCTATCAAAAGTATCTTTGTGATTTATTTGATTATGCATTATTGATATTCAGAAAGGATAAATTAGTTTTCAAGTTAAATAAATTATTTTTAAATCATATAGATAGATGCTAAGATTTATAATGTAAGGAGTAAATGAAGTTGTGATTGAACTCATGTGAGTTTGAGCCTTCAACTACCACGGCTGCTCTCTCTCTCTCTCTCTCTATATGGGGAACCACACCAAAACATCCAATGGTCCATTAGTACTTCCTAGTAGGAGAGATGCTGCTGGCTTCTTTGGCATGGCTTGTGAATTGTAGACATGGCAGTATAGGAGTGTAAATGTATGGTGTTGTTTGGGGATGAGACATGATTGATTGAGAGAAGGTGATGGGAGTGGATGGGAACCCACCATGGCCTCTAGTAGCAGACATCTTTATGCAGCTTGTTGTGCTTTTGGGAGACACTCATCTACCTCAGCACCTGCAATCAAGCAGCAGCATGGCATGAGCTTATCAGTCTTGGAAGATGAGCCTTTGTTCTTGAGTTAAACCATGGTTTGGAATATTCTCCTGGAGCAGCAGTGCTTGGTAAGATGATAGAAGATACAACATTGTCTTTAACCCTAAAGAAACTGTCCCTCACAAGTGGCTAAACTTGCTGATTTAGATGATGAAAGATTAAAAAGAAAATACAAAGATACATCAAGGACTGTAACAAAGTATCTCTCTCTAAAAAGAGAAGAAACTGAGGCTTTACTGCATGTGATCTAGTATTATAAAACTAAATAGGCTAGAAAACAGCCCCCCCTCCCCCTCTCTCTCTCTCTCTTTCAAAAAGAAAGAAGAATAAAGGAAGTAAGATTTTGCTGCTCTGATACTGAGGTTTTACTGCATGTGAGTGAGTTGCTGCAGCCATTGATAAACCATCAAATGTGTGACTTTTGTAGCTCATTTGATGCTTTGACATTGTTTTAACTGCTTGATGACAAGCACTAGGATGAGAGTCATAGAAATCAAGATGCAGCACACAAGCTGCATGGTTTATCTATATGCCAAACAAACAAGTCATTAATTTTAGTTGCAAGCAGCAGTAGTTTTAGCTACCAATGTTTCCTCCAAAGAAAAAGGGAGAGAAAGTCTCCACCATGTGATTGCAACAACAGCATCACATTTCAACATCGACCTCCAGAATTAACTCTATATAGTAGCAGCATAAACTGATAACCTAGTTCATTCGGCAGACATGCTTCTCATCTCCTTTGGTTGGCCTTGTAGGTGACATCTCAGAGGTACATGTCTCCTCATGTGAAACCTTCTCATTACTATTCTTCAGGTTGGAGAACAACCCCTTGAACTTGGAAGAATGTGACCAGATGCGGACAGGGAAGAAGGCCTTCTCCTTACCATGCATACTTACCAGCAGATAGATCAAATAAAAGTGAAAAAGTGAGGCCCTCCTGTACTAATTGTGTATGATGGAGATTGGAGTCCCAATGAGCTCATTGGGTCCTTCAAAACTTTCTCATCATATCAGTTCAGTACTGGAGGCAGTGGAGGTGAGCAACTCCATAACCTTACACTTCAAACTGGTAATTACTGGACCTCACTACATGAATGGTGATTGAATGCACCTAAAGGTGGGAGAGGAGGGATTCCACTTTATGATCCATCAACATCGCATCAAAGAAAGGAGTGGATTTGTGATCCACTCACTTTGTGCAAATTGTGCTATTGCCTATCAACAAAGATCAAATCGCAGGCTATTGTTTAGCTCAAGTTGATACTGCACCAATCACTCCATCACACTGTTGATTACTTATCATCCTCCTATGATCAACCACATCTGTAGACCATCTTTTCCCATATGTTGATTGGGCCATAGAGTTGATCTCAGAGACTCAGGCAACTAAATGGTTTTTCATTTCAGCATCCATTAATTAGATTGATGTTGTGTTGACATGATTTAGGTGCGGTAGGGTAAGCTTATCTCTTAGACTTAGCCCGGAGGCTAGTCTTAATATTCTAATGAAAATAAGTTGTCAACTCGAGTGCACGATACAATTCTATGCCGTCACGATGAGCTGTCATGGTCAACGATATAAACATGCACGTGGAACAGATGGCACTGCCAACAGTGACAGCTGACTTGGCAATATATGCATCGTCGGAGGTGTGCACCCCAAATCTCATGGATTCACTTTGATGGCTACACTAGAAATGGACAGGTAGGGTTTGTCATCGGCATATCCTTGAGAGTGAGAGGGTGAGTGAGATGCCCACTTCTATTAGAAAAAGAACCTCTTGTCTCTGTCATTGGGCTTTAAAAGATCTCAAACATGCATCATGTGTTGTTTGGAATGGCCTTTTTGGCTCAAAGGAGTTGTTCTCACTGTATATTGGAAGGATGAGAGAAAGTCATGCCACAAGGAGTGAGTGCATGGTTGAGACCAAAATGTGTATTTTGATAAATCAAACACAATATGAGATTTGATATAATTTTATGTTATTTGTGAATGACCTAATATAACACTTCATTTTTTTTCATTAACGCTCGGGATGCGGTATTAAAATATTATTCCATTAGAGGGGGTCAATAATCTTGTCTGATCATAAGAAAATCTTGAGATTAAATTTTTTATAAAGTAATTATTATACATATAATATTTTATGAATATAAGTACCGAAGATTTATGAAATATATAAAGATAAATCAGAGCGCAAAGAATACGATTCAACTGTGAGGACCACTCGTCTCTTGAGATTGAAAAAAATATTACTCATATAATAAAAAAAAAATGATTAATATGATGAGGGGTGTCAAACCTCTTATGTAATTATCAGATAATATTGAAATAAAAATTATTTTATTAAGGTGACCTACATATGCAATATTTAGAAGGGGGTCAAATTGGCAGTAGAGAGCTAAAGAAAAGTAGAAGAATACTTTTATAGAGTCTATAAATAAAAAAATAAATATTTTTAATCTAATTTAAAATATGACTTTTTATAAAAAAAGTTATGACTTTACAACTTTGGTAGATAAAGTTTACACCTGTCAGCAAAGGTGAGTCATCAAACAAGTACATGTTATGGGCCTATCCCTTCATTTATTGGACGTAGCCCAACAAGCATTTATGGTGTAGCGGGTCCGGCCCATGAAAATCTATAAAAGGCCCATATCTCTCTCCGCCACATCCGGTCACCATCCGCCGGACAACGTTAAAGAGCCATTTCGTCAAACATCTCTCACGCATTAAACCCTCTTAAACCCTATCTATCCCTTCGTCTTCTTTTCATCTTTTCTACCATCTCTTCCCCCAGATAGCTATGCAGCAGCCCCCGACTCCCAACGCTGCGCTCCCCCCAAACCCTTTCCCGTCCCCTCCCCCTCTCAATGCCGGCTCCGGTCCCGGCAGCGTCACCACCACCACCACCACCAAGAAGAGTAAGCGGCGCCAGCCTCCGGGCCCCGAAGAAGTTCTCGCCCACTACGAGTCGCAGGGGCTCAGCCCCCGCGAGGCCTCCCTCCGGGCCATCCGCGAGCTCCAGGCCATCCTCTTCAGGTACGCCGCCAAGAAGGAGCGCTTCGCGGCCGACTCCCCCCGCAAGCTCGATGGCGTCAACACCCGCCTCGCCGTTCTGGAGATGAAGCTCGACTCCAAGCCCGGCTTCCCTGAGTCGCTCGCCATCGGGGTCGCCTCTGGCGCTATCGTCTCAGCTATCCCTCATGTCCTCGGCGGGCTCCGTGGCATATGGGACTCGGTCTGGTCCGCCACCAAGGGCTCTCCTCCCTCACCGTAACTGCTGCTATGCCCTTTCTTTTAATTAATCCTGTTCTGGTTGGAATATTTCTGCAATTTTAATTTTACCTTCACTGTTAAATGTGTCATTATTTCTCCTCATCAACTATTACTTTTCAAATGTTTAAGCACAAATTGGTAGAAATTAAGAAAAGACAGAATCACGAAAGAGAGTTCTCTATCATGTCGAAACATTGTTATTATAGCCTCCTAAAGTGTATTACGAAGACATTACTTTTAGTATGGGAAGTGTTAATCAGCAGGAGGAAACACTTGGTGGACACCTTAATAACTTTTGACATAATTTATGAGATTCAAAAGTGTTGGGTTAACCAAACCATATGAAAGATCAAGGGATGGATCAGCTATGAACTATTGCATTGTAGGCTATTTGTTGTTTTGTCAGTTCTGCAAGTTGGACAATCTGGGTGTGCAGGAAGAGCTATGGTAGCTTCATCATCCACCAAAGTGGTATATGAGAAAGAGCAGAACTCCATCCATGAGCTTTCTGGTCTATGGCTATTGTTTCAGAAAGTGTTGGTTGGTCCAGCCAACATAACATAATAGTGGCTTTAGCCTCCATCCTGTCGGTGTAGCACAGCTGTGGTGTACCTTGAAATGCAATTCTTGTTATCCGATCTTGGTTGGACAACTAATCTATTAGCTTAATGAGCCTGAACAATCAACCTACTTGAGTCCAAATTAATAATAATGCACTCTTCAGACCTTTATAAGTCGACCTAAGTCTTTGTTCACTTCCGATGTGCAACTAAACTAGGGTGTTATAGTCTCATCCACTTAAGAGCTTGATATTCTCGTCAAGGCTTCACATAACATATCAATCCCTAACATAACATAGTGCAATGGTGGTTCCATGCCATGACATGCCTTCTATGCCCTCTAGCCTTGTTTACAAGTAGTTGTTTCCTACTCGAATGTCTCATCACACCCAATATTATGACGGCTCTCATATTAGTCATGCTCGTCGAATAACTGACCTATTAACTTTTTAGACTTGAACTATGGATTAAAAATGTTTAGATCCAAGCTCTTATAAGTCAATCAAGTCTTTGTCCTAGCCCACTTCTGATATGGGACTTGGGCATTTCAACTCTACACTAAAAGCAAATTGAATCTTTTGCTTGAGGGAGGCCTACTTATGAATAAAACGGTGCAAGATAAGTTAGAGATTGCCAGCATACCAATAGTTTCAAGGCTGACTGATGTATTTCTCTGTAGCTATTTGCAGCTACCCTTTGCTATTATTCAGCATGCTGCCGAAATTTGGGATGACAGAAAGACAAAATGCAGCACTATAGAAGTAAAATTGTGTGGAATTTTTTTAGGCAAAATAGTTTAGTATAAGAAGTGCACGAGATTCTTGAGAATGACACAGGGAATGGTGGTGCCAGGTGTGTTCTTGTTTCCTCGGTGAACTCCAAAGCATTCTTTTGTTTTTTTCATTTTATGGTTAGCATTGCAAGGGTGGTAACTTACAAATTTGTAAACAGAGGAATTCTAAATCAGTCTAAACACAATTTCAGCCAAGACTTGCCTGAGGATGCATCACATCTTATTCGGAGTGCAGAATGACAAGTAAAATATGTCAAGTGCTGCTTATCAATGCTAATTTCAACAGGAATGTTGCATGCCATGTGCAAGAAGCTGAGCAGCTTCTGAATAATTGGATAGACTCTGAATGCAGTTTTGACATATAATCCACTTGCAGCAGCACTGTGTTGTGTTTGGTTTCAAACAAAAAGTGAAGATTAAATGATCCATCATATGTTCGAGAATGATTTGCTGGATTAGTGGATACTCCTTGTAATATAGAGTACTTTGTACATCATAAATAATGAAGTTTTCATCATCCGGTTAGAGTGCCACAGGAGATCAATTGTTTTATGATTAATACATCTACATGTTGTATAGATTCTTCTTGCTTTACTGTTAAACAGTTGTTACAGACTGGTTGGTGCTCTGTTTGAAAGGATGTTATTTTGTGTCTCTTCATGAGTTTTTATGTGTAGAGATGAGCTGGTGGTTGTGGCCTTTGTTTTGTTTTCGCTTTTTCGGTGATGGAATTTTCTTCATTTGGAACAACTTAGATGTTTTCCAGAGATATTGCAGAGAAATTGACATGCCAGCATGATGATATCTCTGAAGTATAAACTGTATGCAGACCTGTCATGCCTATTGGTTCCTATCATTTACTTTTAGACAGGAATCTTGAAGATAGATGAACATGGAAGTGCAGGTAATGGCAGGAGATACACACATAGGACTATTATGAAGCCAGGTTATAAATCTTAATTGAGAAACAGGAAGTTATTATTGTAGATTACCTTCTCAGTTACAATAATTTCCTGTGTTTTGAGTCGCACACTTGTAAGGAACTGCAGTTGGATGAGATCTGCCTCGAACACTATTGCAGAGGCTCCATGGGCTGGTCCTTTTGTTGGGTTGAAGGCAGGCCTGATTCGGCCCGGCTCAATTTTTGTTGGCCCAACAAAGTATAAATATTTTTAATATAGTTCGAAATATATACTACATTTTATATCTCTCCTCTTATTGTAGAGTTATGTGTGTTGGCTCACTGCACATCCCAAAGTAAAAGCCAACGGAAACCTAACTTTTCGTTTTAGAAAGTAAATTGTATATTTTTCTTTTTTGCTAAATGTAAAAATAAAACCCTGATAGGGCTGCGGTTCATCCGGTCGAGACCGGTCCGGCCCGGCCCAATTGATGTTGGTCCGAAGGAAACCCTAGTTAAGAGCCCCGCGGTCGCGTCCGTTAGCAGCCTCCCGATCGACTCCGAGATCAGCCTCGACTAATAAGAACTGCGACTGCCCTCGCTGCCGGTGAATCCAATATCCACCTCGGGTTCTATTCTCGATCGGTGGCCCTCCCTCTGATTCCAATCCGGCCTTACGTTCTCGCCGCGTCAATTCCAACCTCGTGATCAGGTGAATTGTTTTGTGATTTAGGCTGCTTACGTTGATCCAGATTAGATCCGTCTTTGCGAAATCGTGGAAATATTGTGTCTTGTTTGCATATTGATGACCTTTTCGAAGTACTGAATCAATTTGGAACTACTGGTTTCTTGATGTTTTAGGTTTCTTTTGTGTGGATGTATGGCAGCTAGTAATCAACCTCTTTTTTGTCTCCGTTTTTTTAACGAACCACTTTTGATTGATCGATGGGATCTTATTTCTTGGATCAGCTTTTCTCTTCTCCAGGTAGTCTATGCTTTGCGTTAGTTTTTCCCTGGTGGTATAGCACCATGAGATGGGATCATCTTATGGTTTCCTTTCGATGAAAAATGCTTTCGGTGAATTGTGATACATCAGTGTTGTTTTTCTCTTCTCTTCCCTGATCTTTTAAAAATCATCTTTGGACAATTAGTTGAAGCCGATCATAGATGTTTTACATTTAATTCTTGCAAGACATGGCATGTTGTTACAGGCTCTACAGAAGCTTCTTATGCAATATGATTTACTTTTCTCCTGTTAATCTTGCTACTATATTATGTAATGTAATGTTAGTTCCTTCAACCTTCACGTCTATAAAATTCAATCCTTGAGCCAGCTACCTATTGTCATCTCTATAATTTCTTTTCCCTTCTATTGGGATCATCTTGCAAGGCTTAGCCAAATCTTCTTCAGGCTTTTCTTGCAGTCTTAGTTGTAAGAATAATCTTCTCCTCCTCTCAACTTTTTATATCGTAACCTGGCTTGAGGATAACTGATATGTTAGTTTCGTTGAGCCTGAATCACTGGCTCAAAATGATTAGGACCAAGTTAACAAGAGTACACCTATCACCCCTTATAAACTAGTCTAAGTCTTTGCCCACCCCTAATATGGGACTAAACTGATGTTACAATCATTGTAATGGGTCATGTTGCGTCCTTTTCAGGATGTTACTGTAACATACCACCTTAGTCCCACATCAGAAATGGACAAAGTTTTGGATTGGTTTGTAAGGAGTTAATGAGTGTCTTATTGACAAGTGACGCTTAATTATTTTGAGCCAGCCAATGGTTCATACCATTAGGTCAGGTTGTAACATTTTGATTTATCCACAATACACTATGTTTAGTGGAGCAATTTATCTGGCCTTATTTTATGCTTCAAACTTGCAGCGGTTGAGCTTTTTTGTTTTATTAATCATGTCATTACTTCTATGCCTTTTTGCTTCTGTATTCATAGCTTTATCCTGTTTTCCCATATTTTTCAAGATGACAGGAGATCTATCATATCATTCAAAGTGGAAACATAAACAAGTGATTGCTATTTGTTGCTGTGGAAGATTTTCATTCTTCTGATTATCATATATTTTTAGTTTGTTCTTCTCCGGTGCATCTCTTTCTCCTTAATTTATGGATAATTTCTGTTGTTCTAAATGCTATGTATTGTTGTAATTGAACGTACAAGTTCAGTTTTTTAGTTTTTTGTGATACTTTGTAAAGACCGTTGCTTAAATTTTCTACCTTTTTGTATAATTATTTGTTCTCTGCTTTCCAGGCATGGCTGGAATGGCACCGGAAGGATCACAATTTGATGCTCGTCAATATGATGCTAAAATGACTGAGCTGTACTTCACCTGAACCTTGTTTTTGTCTATTTACTTTAATTTTATTATTGTTTTCCTTATAAATGATCCATACATGCTATTTCTTCGGTGTGATCACATGTAATTTTTTGTCAATTGTTTTCATATGGTTAATACAGGCTAACTGCGGATGGGCAAGAATTCTTCACCTCATATGATGAGATTTGTGAAAGTTTTGATGACATGGGACTTCACGAAAACCTTCTTAGAGGCATTTATGCCTATGGTAAGACATTGCAATGGTATTTTTTGTTTAGCATTTTGGCTACAAAATACTTCTGTAACATATATGTTCTGTTGTTGGACATTTAATATTATTATCATTGTAGGTTTTGAGAAACCATCTGCAATTCAGCAAAGAGGAATAGTTCCCTTTTGTAAGGGTCTAGATGTTATTCAGCAAGCACAGTCAGGCACAGGAAAAACTGCAACTTTTTGCTCTGGAATACTGCAGCAGCTTGATTATGGCTTGGTCCAATGCCAGGCTTTAGTTCTTGCCCCCACTAGAGAACTAGCACAGCAAATTGAGAAAGTCATGCGAGCACTTGGTGACTATTTAGGTGTCAAAGTTCATGCTTGTGTAGGAGGGACTAGTGTCCGAGAGGATCAACGGATTCTTCAAAGTGGGGTCCATGTCGTGGTTGGTACTCCAGGTCGTGTCTTTGATATGTTGAGGAGGCAATCCCTTCGTCCCGACTACATTAAAATGTTTGTCTTGGATGAGGCAGATGAAATGCTTTCACGAGGCTTCAAGGATCAGGTTCTCTCTTTGCTGATAACTTCTGTATTTCTGATGAAACAATTTTATTATTTTAATTACTGTATCAGAAATGTTTTATTATTTTAATGTGTTCTGCAATATACAGAACTGATTATAAGAATGAATGCATGTTTTATGTGTATCATAGACTTAAAAATCTTTGTATCAGTTAATAGAATTCTGATTCAAGATACTTTTGATTATTAAAGAACCTTCTTTAGGCTTTTAAATTCCTTTCTCAATATGCCTACAGTCTAAGAGCTAAGTATCAGACTACGAGAAAGTGGTTTATAAACAAAATCGGCTATGTTGTTGTATAACATGATTAATGTATGACTGACAGTGAGTTGGTAAAAAAATATTGGATCTTTGAGGACTTGGGCTTGAATTTTATACAGTCACAGTTTCTCACATTAATCATCTTCTAGATGCTTGATATTTGCAATATGAAAAACAGCTGAAAGTATTTTACATGCATATGAGCTTATAATATAAATAGCCTGTTATTGTTGTTTATCCCTTTTTACCCTCTACTGAGAATTTATTGAGCTAATCCTTCCTCCAACTCGATCCAGTTCCTGTCATTAGTGGCAAAAAATCGCAAGCATGATAATGCATATCATATTACATCTTCTGTCACCACAAAGTGCTGACCTTTTCTCTAACTTGTTTCTTTGGTATAAAAAAAAATTGTGATAGTTTGTTGTTACGAATGACTTTCATTACTGTGTCCATGCAAACTATATTGTTCCCTTATAATTTTCTATATAGAATGTGGTTTATTTGTTGTTTTTCATTGCCAAAGAACTGTTATTGTATTGTTAATATGCTGAAGTACTAGTACTTGATGTCTATGTTCAACACCTGCCACCTACTCTCATTCTACATGTGCATGTGTCTGCTGACTTGGATTATATTGCTAATTTGAAATATGCTTTCTTTATTTCCCATTCATCTAATATATTCTGAGCTGTGTATATAAATTTGACAATTGATGTTTCTTTTCAGATATATGATATCTTCCAGTTACTCCCTTCAAAAATTCAGGTGGGCGTCTTCTCTGCCACAATGCCGCCTGAGGCCCTAGAGATCACCAGGAAGTTTATGAACAAACCTGTTAGGATCCTTGTGAAGCGTGATGAACTCACCCTGGAGGGTATAAGGCAGTTTTATGTCAATGTCGAGAAAGAAGAGTGGAAGCTTGATACCCTCTGCGACCTTTATGAAGCACTGACCATCACTCAAAGTGTCATCTTTGTTAACACTCGACGCAAGGTTGACTGGCTCACGGATAAGATGAGGAGCAGGGATCACACGGTTTCTGCTACTCACGGAGACATGGACCAAAACACCAGGGACATTATAATGCGGGAATTCCGTTCTGGCTCCTCTCGTGTTCTCGTCACTACTGACCTTCTTGCTCGTGGTATTGATGTCCAGCAAGTGTCAATGGTGATAAATTATGATCTGCCTACTCAACCGGAGAACTACCTCCATCGGATCGGACGAAGTGGACGTTTCGGAAGAAAGGGTTCCGCAATAAACTTTGTTACCCGTGATGATGAGAGGATGCTATTTGATATACAGAGGTTCTACAATGTGGTGATAGAGGAGCTGCCTTCCAATGTTGCCGATCTCATCTGACGAGATCCTTCGACATTAATGCCTTTGTAGGCCTGTTTCTTTTTGTCAAACCATCCATTTTGGGTGGAATGATTCAGCCTTTTTATATCTTCCTTCGATGGTAACTTGTTCCAATTTATTGTTATTCCATCTCTCCAAAGCTACGAAGCTGTCCAGATCTCTTGTATGAGCATTTGGGTACTTTCAGAGAAGCAAGATGAATATATATATTTTTTTATTTGAAGTTTTTTGGTATCATTTATCTGCTGTGTGCAATTGGCGAATTGTGCCTTAGCACGAGCTTGACCCCCCTCTCGTGGATGCGTGGCAAATGTTTGATGATTTGCCAAATGCCCTGCAGTTGGAGACGGCAGCAGACCAGTATTACTGCTTCAAGTAGGTTTCATGAATCATTGCACATCCTGGAGATGGACAGCGCTGAAAGAAGGCACAGCCATTGCATGGGTTAATCAGATATTGAAAAGAGAGGAAAGAGAAAATTTTGATGATCACCCAGAAACAAAAAAAAAAAGGGTAAAATCGTGCATCATTTCATAATTTTCCGTTCATAAATTGCCAAGAAAATAAAAAAGTTGTGGTCCAAGAAACAAGAACGAGATGACTAATTTGGCCTCCACGGAATAACCTCCGTCCGATCAGTATCGGACGGCCCACACTGCATGGGAAGGGGTAGCTCCGACAGCTACGGAGCAACTACAGAGGTGGGGACCACCTGGTCACTTCCTCCATCGACGCGTGTCGCCATTCCACCACTGCATTGTAAACAGAGAGCAATGTTTTTCTCTACCCATGTGCCGCGTACCCTATTAATATACTCTCTAGAGACATCAGAGGCAACCATGGCCCACAGGTGGGTTCAAGTGGACCCTGCTTCATCATATTATTATATTTTGGGTTAGATGTCGCGTATACACTGAGCGTGGATATTAACGTATGGATGGAGAAAGCCCCGCAGTATACCTTGCCACTTACAAACTGGTCCCACAGTGGGTTCCTCTTAACTCTAAATTCTCTCTCCACTAGGGTTAATTTCTCAGGAGGCGGGTAAAACTGAAATGGGTATTGAAAGTGATTCCTCCTCTTATTACTTTTTATGTGAGAAGAATCACTAGTGTTGTGGTAATGATAACAATAGAAAGAGAGGAGAAGGCGATTCCTTTTTGTTTTCTTGAGGAGAAGATTTCTGATGATGGAGGCTTCAAAGCTACTGATAGCTTCGACCGTGATCTGCCTCGTGTTCGTCGGAGCATGGGCGGACGCCGGGGCCGAAGAGGAGGTCGTCGTCCAACACCTGGCGCCGGATTCGGCGCTGAAACTGGAATTGGAGCAGCTTAGGTCAAAAATCTCCGCCCTAGGTCAGCGCCGATTTCGAATTTAATTCTTGTTTAATTTGTTGTTTTTGTTATTGGACTAGAGTTTTGTTCGTATTCTAGGGTCTCTAGGGTTTTGAAGATGAAATAAAGGGGTTTTTTTGCTTCAGAAAGTTGTTCCTTTCCTTGATTGGATTCAAAATTTACGTCTGATTTTCCTTTTTATTTCTTTCACCTTCTGGATTTTTGGTGTCTTGAGAAGTTAAAGTTCTGTTCTTTTACAAATGTACCTCCTTTTTGAAGACTTCCAAATAACGGTAAACTAGGTTGTAGTTTGGCTCTCGCAGTCAGATTAGATTTTGTTCTTTTGGGGTTTTCATTTAATTTAAACTACCAACTCCATTTCTTTGTTTTTTCTTGGTATTCTGTGATTATTTCTGAGCCGAGGAAACATGGTTTCGAATGATGATGTTTTTTTATTATTCCCGCCGTAGAAGCTAGCATTTTGGACAGAACGCGTGACCTGAAGAGCAAAGATGAGACTATCACACATTTGGAAATGATCATTGAAGAGAAGTCAAAAACACTTTTATCATTACAAAGCGAGATAGAATCAGTCCAGGTGACTCTACGGTGATACAGAGGCTCAATTATTCTGTTTGGTTGTTGCTATCCATCTTATGTTTTCCATATACTTTTGGTTGTCTAGAAGAAGGGAGCTGGAGATGCAGAGGAGCTTGTTAAAAAGGCTCATGCCCGAGCTGGTGAACTTGAGAAGCAGGTCTGAAACATCAAATTGATTAGTCGTGATGTAATTGTAAGGATTTGCATGGTTGTGATGTAGATTCTCTGCACAGATGGCGAAACTTAGAAATGATATTGAGTTACAGAACAAAAGAAGAGTTGCTTTGGATGTTCAGGCTGGTGAAACTGAAAAGAAAGTGGGAGAACTTAATTTAAAATTGGAAAATGTAAGTCTAAACTTATGTTTGGATATGTTTGATGTTAACATCTGTTTACTACAGGTCTTCACTTATAATGTTGGTTTTCTGCAATGTGTCCTTCTACATGTATTCATTCTATCATCATTTAAACACAAATAACATCTTTTGTCTTCTTCTTTTCATGTCATACATCCAGCCTTTACAGTATGATTTGGTTAGAGCCATCTCTTGGAATGAAAACTGTTGCATAATGGAGCACTATTCTTGCATTCTATGGTTACAAGGCACATGGAACTAGGATGTTATAGTTAGATGCCGTTGATTCATATATAGCTATTGGGGGAAAATATAGAGTTATTCACAGTTTTTGTCTGTAGCCGATAGTTGACCATATGGGTATTCAGTTCATCCATTGTTAGAGAAACAAAAATACTGGAGTTCCAAGGTGCGCAGGCCACAATGACAAGATGGAGTTTTAATCATGGTAATATTGGAAGTAAGTGTCTCCATAATTTACATGAGATCATGATTTGCCAAATATACTCAGCAACTGTTGTGGACCAATTAATTTAGGATAGTGGTCTGTTCATCGAAGGATAATTCTTTCAGATATGTGAACCTAGTGACGAAAGGCTTTGGAAAAACTGTGATGATAAAAAAAGGATGGTGAGGTGCATGAGGCTTCTATTGATGCGACATTTTGGGAGAGAGAATTCTTTTAGATAAATGAACCTAGGTGTCCAAAGGCTTTGGAGAAGCATTTTAGGCCCATCTTTGACCACCTTGCAATTGGTGAATGATATAACACTTGATTATTAGTGTTATAATTTAGAAAGATATGGGTCGATACACTTTTTTTTCTTCTTTTGGGATCCTGTCAGATATCTGGTGGCTTTATGGATTTGATCCCAAATAAATCTTGACAAAAATCCTTCATGTTGTAAGCAGTAGATTTAGTTTCTTCCATACCACCTGTGCTAAAGTATTTTCTAGCTTTTGAACTTAGTTAAGATTGATATATTTATTTCTTAACCAAGAATATTATGATCTTTTGCTTGATTATGTCGAAGATTTTTCCAATTTTTCTTATATACTTTCAAGTAAATGTTTGTTGAACATGTTATTTTGGTTGCCACAAGTTGCCATTGCTGGTTATATAATTTCTCCTTGTTATCTCTTATAGCTCCAGAAGATAAATGATGAACAAAAACGTAGAATTCAGAAAACTGAACATGCTCTTCATGTGGCAGAGGTTTGTGCTATCAACCACTATTATCACTTGGAAGTTTTACATTCTGACATTCATATTACTGTTGGTCTCTTCTTTAGGAAGAGCTTATGAGGGCACAGCTAGAAACAAGAGCTAAGTCAAAGGAGTTGTCTCAGGTAATAATACTTATAGATGAATGAAGTAGTATCACAGCCTTTGATTATTTTACAGTCTGTATCTTTTTTTTCAGAAATTGTAGTAAGTCCTTTATACCAGATTTTTTAACACACTTTCTTCTTGTAATATTCCTGGATTATCCAAGCTATACAAGAAGTAACGAACTGAGCAACATGTATCGTCCTGATCTTTGTTTTCAAGCCAACTTCGTTTCTTATCTTGTGTCTGTATCCTGTATAATAAATGTCCCAGAAATGTTTTACTGTTGCAGAAACAGTGCCTCATGATTATGAGTTCTTTTTACTGCCTTTATTTTCGTGTGGACCAGAATAGCTTCCTCTAATATACAGAATCTAGATGTTCATTACCTAGGTAAGGATAGTCTTTGCTTGATATCTGTTCAGGCTCTTAGACGTATAGATGGTGCTTCCTGTACAACTCCTTCAAGACGTAATTGTTTGTATTTATTAGGTAGGGTCAAATGATGGTTTTACATGTTCCTCATTCTCACAATGGTAGTAGGTTGTTTTACTTTTCGATAAGATGGACTTGTGGAACCAGCAAGTTTACTTGATATTATATAATGAAATAATTCAGCAAAAAAAAAGTCAATTTCCATTTTGCTTACTTTACAGGCCCATGGAGCATGGTTACCACGTTGGTTTGCCGCTCATATCAATCGCTATCTGGTATGCATTATGTCGAAATGTTAGTTGGCATAGATGTTAAGCATCTGATGATAACTTTGATGGTAACATTTCAGGAACTTGCAGCAACCTACTGGAAGCATCATGCAAAACCTACATTGGACGTCTTCCTTCATAAGGTTTTTATATATTTGCATGAGAGCATCCTTCTGTATTACTTCTGTCACCCACCATTAATACAGGACACATGTTTTTTTTAACTTTAATCTGTAATCACATTCAACATTTATGTCTGAAATTTTTTTCAGGCATTGGAGAAATCAGCTCAGGCACAGAAACGGATGGAACCCCACTTGGAAATGGCCAAAAATGTATGTCATCAAAAGTTAAGGATCATTTTAATAGTTATATTTACATGCTTTAGCAATTAAATTCTGTGCATGCTGGTTTATTGGAGAGTCTGCTGAATATGATACTTTGATATTCAATCTTTTATACAATCACATGCTGAATTGCAGATGCACTTAAAACAGTTTATGTTTTATGTAATATTGTTAACTTTAATAATCATCCTTCTTCTATTTCTGTAGAAATGGATTCCTGCTATTAAAGAGCGATGGGTGATTCTTGCAACAAATGCTGAACCCTATGTGCACACTTTATCAGCTAAGACAGTCGAAGTGTATCACACTTCTAAAGATGCCATAGCTACACATGTAGTCAAAGTACAAGAACTGGGAGGTCCCTACTTCCAGGTACTTAATGTAATCTGTTTGATGGGAATACTGGATGTCCTTCTATTGACATTCTTTTATATACTCAATTTTTTGTTTTTAATAAATTACTTGTGCCACTATAATGTCCATGTGCTTCGGTTTTAGGCAGCCAAGAGGTTTTCTAAACCATATATCGATCAAGTCGCTACTATCACCAAACCTCATTTCAAGAAGGTGCAATTTGCTTTGAAACCCTACAAGAAACGTATAGTTCGTGCTTATGGAAAGTTTCATAAATCAGCAACAGTTTATCATCACCAGGTAATACTTGCACTTCTCTTTCTCTCCTAATTGGTGTGATCTGCTTATTTATTCTTAGTAAAGGTTTTATCTCTTGCCAAAAAAAAATCTTATCCACTCATCATGATTACAAGCTTCCCAGTGTGTGAAAAGAAATAAGACAAAGGGCTGAAATTGCAGTGTGAGATATACACACATTTACACAGACATGTATGTTTATATATGAGAATAATAGTACCTCCCCGTGAATTTTGAATTCAACAATTCTGTATAAACAAAGCAAGAAGTTTCTACAGTTTTTCTGCTTTTTGTAAGTGAGCAAGTTCTTTGGAATAGCTATATCTGATAAACTGAAAAGCCAGCCCAGCTCATTAAAAGAATTGTTTACTGTACACATAAGAGAAAGACTATAGGATGCAACTCTTTACTTCATATGGAAGTAATTTTTTTTTTCCTTGTGATCATGCTGACAGGACGTAACCGTTGTCATCGTAATCATCACAGTTGACATCATTGATTCATTGTCGGTTTCTCCTTGTTCGTTGTGCATTATTTTGATATTTCAAACTTCAAAGTACTTGTCCTTTAAATTTTTTCCTCTTATGAAGCAGGATTGTTAGCCACCCACAACTATGCATTACTCTCATTTGGATAATGTAGTTTCAAACTTTCAATTACTGCTCCATATTTGTGTATGTTCCAATCCATGGTCCCCATTTATGTTGACTAGTTGAGCAGTAATTCGGACAAAGCCAACTATGCATTACTGCTCCATAATGCATAGTAATCCATATTGCAGTCCATATTACTGCTCAACACTAAAGCCAATCCAGTCCATATTACTGCTCCATAATGCATGGTAATACAAAAGCCTGTTGTTGCAGAACACTAAATGTTCAACACCATGCATTCTTTGTATAATGTAGTTTCAAACTTTCAATTACTGCTCCATATTTCTGTATGTTCCAATCCATGTTCCCCATTTATGTTGCCATGTTGCATGGTCTCTTGCCGTATTCTGCTTGTTCACTCTTCTTGTTGCATGCGCTGGTATGCGGGTACACAAGTAATGCATGTTGAACACTTGCCTGCATTGACATGAAATGTTTGGTTGATAAGACTGAAGATTGTGTGGTAATTTGCTTTGTTATAAGGGATAAAGTCATGTGCTCTGCTTATGACCCATGAAGTCTTGCCGCATTTTTAAAATCTTCCATGAAAACAATTCCTAACTGATCAGTTTTGTTTCATTTTAGCACTGCACCAAGCTTAGGAACAATTTAAGCTTGCTCTATGCCCTTTCGCTGCTTTCATATGCTAATGTTTAAGATTTTTGCATGTCTAGAGATTCTAGTCTTAGGTTATGTGATGCGCAAATATGCATATCATGATCAATTTTATGGTTCTGTTTAATCTTATTGTAGGTCCAAGCTGGCATCCATGAACATTTAAAGAAATATGAATTAACAAAACCTCTTGCTACCAAAGAGCTGGTGTGGTTTATGGTATATCAGATTCTTCCTTTATGTCATCAGATATTTGAATTTCACATAATCAAAAGTTTCATTGGTCAGCAATATAACAACGATTATATGGACATGCAGGCTTCTGCTTTGTTGGCTTTACCCATTTTCCTTGTATACAGATTCTTATCAGATATTCTTTGGTTGGTTTCTTTTGCATCTATATTTAATTTATTACTTTTATATTTTTTGATGGATAAGATATTTATTTACTTGTATCTACTTGTTAATGATCAGCTCTAAAAACACAAGAAAGCCAACACGAAATGCGCACGGAAGCCACACACACAGAAGGCCTAAGCGTAGACATCCTGACAAGTAGAGTATGATAAAAATAAAATTATCAACGTTGTACTTCTTATATTCGAGGTAATATTCTTTGTCTCTTATGTGCCTTTATATCTCAAGCATGGTGAAACAGATGAAAAAATTTTAGATTATCATTTAAGGCTCTTAATTTTCATTATCCTTCTCATCAAATTGACTGATTTTGAAATAAAGGTTGACTAAAAAAATTCTCTGTATCCTGTTGGTGGTATTGCTTTATGGGGATGACCGCTATTGTGTTTGGTAGGTGGGTTTTTCATTTTAAAGTAATAGACGGATGAAAATTTGTCTAGTAAAACACTGATCAGTTTTAGTTTCCCTTTTTCATCAATGATTTTTAAAGTAAAGATTGACTTAATAATTCTATATCCTGTTATGTTATTGCTTTCTGGGGACAGCAGCTATAGTGTTTGGTAGTCCGATATCTAGGAAATATATATTTTAGTAAGGTTTGTTGTTTGGCATTTGTATAAACATTACCAAATATATTAGTAGTATAGCTACATAATCTTCAAGTAATCCTAAATGAAGCAACTTCTGTTAAATTGTTCTGTCCGCAACTTTTTATTTCAGAAAGTGCTTCCTTTGGAGATTGGAACAATGGTAGAGAATTTTAAAGTTCGAGAAACGGAGATCTGTATTTGTTTGTTCATGTATGGTTGGATCAGATCCAAGTGAATTGAATAAAATTGGTTGGTGACTAAATTTTGATGTTAAAACTTTGGCAATAAAGTGATGCTTTGATTCGACAGAGGAATGTAGATGTATTTAAACAATGCCTAGCATATAACTGGTCCATGATGCTTTTTGGAAAAGGCCATCATGTGTTTGATCAAATATGCTGTTTCAATTTATCCGTTAGAGTGTCATTATTAGCATAGTCAGGAATCTGATGAGAGTAATTTCAGGTAGAGTGACTATACTCTTCAAAAAGTAGAAGTTATAAAATTAATCTTATAAATTAAGCAAAATGATTATGCCACGTGTTGAAGTTATAATATCTGTTAGCTGGGAATCTGTATAGTGAAGAAAGATAGGGGAATCAGTTGAATAGGTCAGCGAGTAACAGTTGGAAGAAAGAATTTAATACCAGTACAGAACATTAATCCAGTACAATATGACAGTACACATATTTTCATGTGTTACCATTTACTTTGGTATGGTTAGTGTACTGTTCCCTGGTATCAAGATCAGACCGACAAAGACTGGTCAATATCCCTTCAGTATTTAAATCCTTTATCTGAAGTTATTATAACCTTGGTTTTGGTTATAACTTTTATTTTTGGAGTTCTTGATAGATATCCGGGAGGTTCAGGTGCAAAAAGAGAAATAAGTGTTATTTGAGTATGATGAGCAGTAAAAGAAATTTCGTGAAATTTGGTCTCTCTCTCTCTCTCTCTCTCTCTCTCTCTCTCTCACACACACACACACACTGTGGTATGCTATGTAAGTACATTTTTTTGGGGAGTGTACAGTTGGTTTGATGAGAGTCTTGTAAGTACTTATGTCTTGTGGATTTGTTTTTGTTGAGGAAATTGTAGACAAACCCCTGGAATCATGCTTATAGCTTATGCTATGCAAAAGGTTAAGGAGACAAGAAACCATGATTTGATATTTGATATTTAAACATCTAGTAAAGCAATCTATTCCCATGTAAATTACCTGCTATATGTTGTTGATTTTTACTTCAGTTGTAGACTATTTCTTTTTTCTATGCAACTGATTCTGCAAGTATTGCATGTACACATACATACTTGGTGATACTTTTTCTAAAAACACTTAGTGTTCCCAAAATAATTTCTTTCATGTCTTGAGAACTTCAGAAGTGACAGCCAAAAATCAGTCATGACATGATCTGAAGGTCAACGACAGTTTTTTTTGTCTGCATGTCATTTGATCATAAGTTCGACAAACAAGTCAATTTGCATTTTCATGCTTGTTTTGTTGTGTTGATTGGATTCTATGTACAGCATATTTATGATTGTCGTTTATCTAATCATGCACATCTAATATCTATGCAAAAATTCAGAGTTAGTAGTTGTGATCAATGGCCATGAATTATTCTTATGAGGGTGTAGAGTTGTTCTTTTTTCTGTGGCTAACAATTACTCCATTCTATTCAGATGGCCTCTGCTCCTAGTTCGCTGTGATCTGCAGTGGTAAACTCTTGGGCTTCGAGTCACCTTCTGTGAGAAAAAAAGCTGAACAATCATACATTGCAAAATTTTGTAGCAAAAATGGTATTGTGTATGAAGTGTTTTGTTATTTTACCTTTTATATGCTGCTTTAAATCAATTTGTGGTGTTGGAATATTTAAACTTCTACATGCCAAAATTTACACTTATATCAGATTACTCTCAACATTTTTCTTGATGGGTTTCCTTCTTGGGGTGTTTGATAGCCTTCATTTCCCCCCCTTTGCATTAACTAATGCATTTCCAATATATATATGCATTTAGCTATGTGATGCAACACAAAATGCAGATGCATCTCAGTGCATCATTCTTTCACATTGCAAATATATACTGTCACAGAGTACTTTGTAATTGCAAAAAACATTAGCTAGTGTTGATGTGTTTTATTGAGACAGTATCTTGATATATTATTGTTCATCTTACATCTGATGAAATCTCCCTTTGGATACCATTGATCCATGCAAAGGTGTATCTAATTAGCATATAAATGGAGAAGCTTTAGCTATTCAACTCCCAAATCTTGTATAAAGATATGATGGGTCACTTTGATATATTCAACTCCCAAAAGATATATTTTTAGTGATCATGAGGTCCTTGAAATCAGCATCATCATTCACACTTCTATGACCCACTCTCCAATATCTACCTCCTCAGAGAAATCTCTCTCTCTCTCTCTCTCTCTCTCTCTTTGATTTCTAATTGCACTTAATAAAGAAACTAAAACCATCAGTTTTTCCATCTAATGTTTCAATCAAGTGTGGCAGAAGAACACGAAATCTCACAAAAGATCGCCAACAGTACAACTATCTAATGGTGCAGTTCTCAACGAGAAACTTCTCTTGCCTCTCCTTCAGTAAGGAGACCAGAAAACATCGAGCTCCGTGGCAGAGTCCATACTATGGTACCTGACATCAGAGCCAAATCCGCCATCCATGGCTCCCACGAAACCGTTGGCAATGGCCGACGAAGGCGGCGGCTCAGCCACCCCCAGTGGCTGGAATAGAGGAACTGGCATCGCTGCCGGTGACGGCGGCGGTGGCAGGGCGCCCATATTCAGCTTCATACCTGCGAGGGTGAAGCCTCCTCCTCCTCCTCCTCCTCCTCCATGGTAGCTGAGCTGTGGTTGGATCGGTGAGGTCGGGCCATGGCTGTCTCTGGCGAACCTCGACAACTCCATCAGCTCATTCTGGATGAGAGAAGGCGTCGAGACAGGCCCCAACTCGACATAATAAGGGTTGGCTCGCGGCTGGCTCGGCGGGTACTTCTTCCCGGAAGAACTACTCTTCATGAACACACGGCAGACGACCCACTCATCCTGTCACAGGTGCAAATGCTATTCCTATCAAGTTCATATCCTTCAGCGAAAGATCACACTCTTCCTAATGATCCATGGATGATGATCAAAACACAGTAAATGTATGACCTTGATGTATTTTGAGGCAAGCTCGGAGTGGAGACGGTATTCGTGCATGATCCAGTTGGTCTTCTCCCCTCTCGGAGCTCTCCCTTTGTAGAACACCAACGTCTTCTTCATCCCCACCAGCTCGGAGGTGCTGCTGTCGAAGATCTCCTTGTCTTTCCCGGTCGTCTTCCAGTAGCCGGCGTTGGTGGCTCGGTTGGTTCTGACCCCGCTCGGGTACTTGCGGTCCCGCAAGCTGAAGAAGTACCATTCCTTTTCCCCCAGCTTCGCTTTCTCTGATCACAGGTTCAATCAGTTGGTACCGTTCCTTTAAATCTACTACATATCAGCACATCATCGAGATGTTTACCAGGGAGATCCCATGGCTCGGACTTGGTGAGGTCGACCTCCGCGATTGCTCTCGCATCGAAGTCCGCCTCAGTGATCTTGTGGGTGAGGTAGTGGGTGATCAGCTCTTCGTCGGTGGGATGGAACCTAAACCCAGGCGGCAACTGCTGCTCCTCCTCCTCAACTCTTCCTTCCATATCTTCCCTTGGTTTGTTTGCAGGCCGCAACGCAGCCTTGGAATGGAGACCAGCTTCAATAAATACCTTGTGCTATATTGAAGACAACAAAGTAGAACCTAAAACAGGGAGGTGGACGGGGAAGGCGGCAAGGGAGCTCCAAGTCCTCCTCCTCCTCACCACGACGAGGACGCGTTGTGTGGTGGTGGAGCTCTTACCAACCGCCCGAGGGCTTCACACACAAGCTGCTTACGTGCTCATCCGGACAAAAGACCATGGACGGTGACCGCTTGTCCCCCCTCCTTGTTCTCTGCAAATTCCACTTGTGTCGCCACCCTTCGTTCGTTCATCAGCAGTCATCCAAACTCTCATCTTTCTCTCTCTAGCTTGCTCTGCACATACACTTTGGTGTGCTCAGAATCTGTGGGGATCAGTCGATGCGACCAAACCGTGGACGCAACCAGAGGTGGTACGTAACCGAGACGAGATCTCGAGCCGACATGGTGACACGTAGGTCAGCGACACGACACGCCACGCCACGCCACGCGACGCGGGGGGCGGGGAAGGGCCCCACGCGCTCCTCGGCCCCGTAGCTGGAGCCAGCAACTCGTTTGAGTCCACGTCGGCCCGGTCCCACCCGACGTCACGAGGCTTGACCGGGGAGCAGACCGTCGGGCGAGCCGCCGGGTCGGGGTCTCCCCACGCGCCAACCGCCGCGACTATTCCAGCGGAGATGATTTGTGGGTGTGAAGTCTCCTTTGGATTCTTTGCATGCTCAAATTCTTAAGCCCATCAATAATTGTTTGTTCCTATTTGTTGATCGAGAGTAGAGGATTAAATAATGCTCATATGAAAATATGTACAGATCAGAGGTTTCGTTTGGTTGTCTTGAAGTTTCCATCGGACTAAAAACTAGAAGAAAAGGTTAGAATACAGCAGCAAGACTCATCCTGTCATGCAATCAGTATCTTCGAGCATTAGAGGTTATGTTCGGTTGTCGTGAAGTTTCCATTGGACGAAAACTAGAGATAAGGTAAGAGAATACAGCAAGAATCATCCTGTCATGCTGTCTGTTTCTTGCTCCAAGGAGTCTTTCTTCATGATTGATTATTTTGTTGTTTTGGTATCAAATGATGTACAGTCAAATGCCCTCAGAAACATATCATATATGCACAGTTAAACTTGAGTTGATTTAACCGGAGTTACTATGGGAACTCTGTCATTGAGTAAGCTTAAACATTTAGTCTTTCAACTCTATAGTATGAACAATCGATGTATCTTTGTAGTTTATGGATTAGAGATTATAGAAAACCATTTGTGCACATTTTAGAGAGCATAAGTGCAATGAAAAAGTTATACATGTATACATACAGTAACAGCAGCATTAAGAATTAGCTCAAAATCGGAAAGTGGAAGCAAATCTAAAGCTGTAAACTAACTCAGACAGAGATACAATCATGTCCTGCAATGAAGAGGGATGTAAGGTGCCTTCAATTTTTTGATAGTCGTATTTGCTGAGACCAGCTTGAAGCTCTTACTGTGATGCACGAGAACGATCTCTCAGCTTATTTTGGTGGTGGAACTGCTCAAGCAAATTTCAAGAACTGGAGCGATCATCCGCACTTTTCGGTATAGCAGTGCGAGGATATTTTGTTTCAAGAAATCAGGGATTGTTTCGAGCGATTCGAACCCATCAATTCTTTGTGAGGGCCTCTCGGAAGAGAGAAACTAGATGAGGAGGCGAACAAATGTACCGTGGCTTATGAGTCGGCTTGATTTACGGGTCGATGTCGGAAGTCTTCGGTTGTCTGAGTTGGTTGCCGAGGTCGGGAAGCTGGTAGGTGGCTCTTATTTAAGACGTTGGTTGATGGCTCTCCGTCGGGATCCTGGTCGGTGCGTCGACGAGAGGCAATCTCTCGAGATGATCTTGGGAGATGGTGGCTCTCCTACATAGAAGGTCCTGTTGGGTGGTTGCCGACTGTGGCCCCTCGACCAGTAAGTTAGTGTAGGGTTCTACTTTACTTTTCTCTTCTCCCTGGGTCGGATGCTGGCCAGGGGCTCTTATACTACTGTACGAGGGTCGGTCATACATGAGTTTGGCGTGACGATCAATCCTCGAGGGGTAAGATGGTACCTTTGTACGATCGTTGTCCCAGGCTTATCGGGACAGGACGTACCGAACGGTGTCTTAGTACGATTGCTGGCTCGACGCATGAGGGTGCTTCTCTTGCTGACTTGGCTGTGGTGTGATGTGGCATCAATTGTGACGTGGCTTGGGCCCGAAATATATCTTATCAGCTTCTTCCGCGACCTCCCAAACGATCTCTACCGCATCAGTGAATGTGTTCGTCAATTCTTGTTTATGTAGCTTGACATGCCCGCATTGGATCTTCAAGCTTATCATCTTTGTGGCTGATAGGTATGGATCGGATTCCGGTCATTCTTTTTGGTCCGATCTGGTGAGAGCGGAACCCACCTCTGGTCTTCCAGAAGAAGAAGGCCTCGTAGCGGACTCCTCACCAAACATCTTCACATCATCAGTAGTAGCCTTGCTATTCCATCCCCGCATGCTGTAAAGGTTTTCATTCGTTAGTTATCTATGAGATATAAAAACCCGTATAATATGTTATTATTGTTATATGAAAATTTTTAATATCAAAATATTAGAATCAAATAACGGTATAATATATATTTTTTTATCCTATTAAAAAAGTATTTATTTGGTCTATAGGCGCACCGGATCCAAAAATAAATAGATTCATCTTCTCATCTCTTTCGAGCAAAGGTAAATGGTACACGATAAATAATTAGGAGAGAAGTTATTTTTTGAGAAATTTTATCATAATTAGACTTTCTTTCTAGTATTCATAATCATAATAAGAATTCAATCATATCTATATTTTATCTTACCTAAACCACGTAATCTAATATTCATCTACTTTGGCCTACTAATTATTATACTACTATTATAAGCATAAAAATCATGACCAAATAATTATAAATATAAAAATTATAATATGCTACTATTATACAAAAATATGAATATAAGAAATTAAAATTAAATAATGATATATCAAATTTATGATACATACCTTTCAATGCTCCTCAAAAAGTTTTTATCTGATTTGTATGCACAATGTCATCATATTCAAAAGTCATAGTGATATCAATATGTAAGGAGAATTAGACTAGTCTTCTTCTCTCTTATAAGAGAGAAGAAAAAAATTTATAATCTTTATGTTGTCCTTATAAAGTCTTATCTCTTTATATACAAGAGGATCTACGATTAGTAATTAGGTGAGTTCCTTTCGTCAAAATCATCTTCTAAATTTTTTTACGATAATAAATTTTTTTTATTGCTCCATAATCGTAATCAAAATTCAATCATATATATAATATATCTTACATATTTAGATAAGATCGTAACACTAAATTCTCGCGATACTTCTTTTCACGAGAAAACCCCAACGTTGAGTGGTTAGGAAGCTGATCGTCGGTGGGGGAATACTTTGGTGGCACTTCTTCGGAAGCGAAGGAGGCACGAAGCTCATCGGCACCTATAAAACTGCTCGCCGCTGGTTAGAAGCTTCCGGAGCCACAGCTGAAGAGATGCCCGAAAGGTTAGAACCAAGTTAGGGAGGGGAAACGCCGGCGGGAAATTGCCAATAAAGAGAGACAGAGAGAGAGAGAGAGAGAGAGAAAACAAGTTAGGGACGTTTGCACACACACAAGTATACACGAGTGTGATCCAACGGTCATCGTTAGAAGCTTGTGGTGATCACAGTTTTTGCACGGTCAGATTTGAAGAAGAAACGAACAAATAGATTCTATGGGGAAAAGAGAATTAGTTTGACAGTTGCTACCGTTATGACCAAATGAACACATAATAATAGCACTACTCATAAATGTTATATATAGGAAATAGAAAATACCCTTAATTTCTCCTAAGAAATAAAATCGTTCAGACACATAAACCAAAACTATTCCAAGGTATCATTATAGATGGATCACTTGGATTAGGGTCAAAATCAACAATGGAAGAGATGACACACACAGGGAATGTGTTGCGCGTTTTGACTTCTTCCCATAATTATAATTGTGTGATTGTTCCAACTTCAAACGTTTTGTGTAATCCCATAGTGTTGGATGATTTGTTGGATTTAGAACCAATGAACAATCGCATCAAGATGTAATGGTATGATTATTTGGAGTCAACGCAAGGATTATTGACATCAACCGAAATTTATGAATATAGATAAGAAAATAAGCATTTAAATCGAGTAAACAGGAATTCCCCGTTTTTAAATAGTAATAGATTGATTTTTTTTTCTGAGAATAAATGCCTACGCCATTTATTCTATTTAGATTGATAAAAAAACCGAGATATTTTAGGATGGATTCGAATATCATGATGTAGTTTGAAGTTTACGATGTACAAAAAAAAATGAAGTCTGCCTCCGAATAAGTTCTTATCTGCTTAGTCTCAAATATTCTTTTGTTTTTATAAGTTACGATTGTTAATCTCTAATTCATCGCAGAATTTACATGTATTCAAATGTATTTTGTATAATCTTATTGTGTAATTATTAGTTGGAGGCAAAACTCTTTTACGTTTGAGTATGATGTCCATTTTGAAAGCTGAGTTATATCCATCTATCCCGGGACATGGGACATGAAGGATATATCCATCTAAGCTTCGAGTTAGAGCTTTAGAGTTTTTATCCAAGTTATATGCATTGGACATGCGAGACATTTTACCGAGAAAAAGTGAGTTTGATGCTCTAAATGTTTTTATCTTAGATGAATACATCGGTGCAAGAATATACTTTTACCTGATTATGATGCATTAGATACTTCAAATGTTAATCTATTAGATATATATAACGCTTGAGAGTATATATTTTTCTTAATTAGAGCATATTGATGCTTTATATTTATGTTTTAGGCGAATGTATCGTGTGTGGGGAGATGTTTTGCCCAATTATAACATATTAAGTGCTTCATATTCTTATGTCCTATTTGTAGTGCACCGGGTGCTTTAAATTCTTATCTTTTAGGCAAATGAATCATCTATAGGGAGATGTTTTATCATTAGGATAAGTTAAGCAATTCAGATGTTTAATTGTCCTCAATATGATAATGTTAATATGACAATTCATCTTTCTTAAGCTTATCATATTGTGATATGATTTATGACTAGTAAGGAGCCTTAATCTAAACACAGGAGATGATTTGATTAGAGATGAAGTTTTGACGTATTTACAAAGTCTTCGTTACGACGATTCATTTTTCGATAAGAATTTTTCGATACTCAAGTTATCGATATTCATTCATATCGAGCAAGAAATAATAATGATAATTAAAAAATTTAAAAAGTATTTTATGAATATGCTTACAGAGATCTCCTTTTATATTAATTAAGAGGAGAATTTTTTTTGATTTTATACTGATATGAGTACAATATTATTTTCTAACTGAGTGGATGGAGACTATATATTGCTTCCCGATTGAGCAATATCTTCCGAGCTTTCCTACTACAACTTTCAACAAAAAAAATAAACGCACACCAAATGTCAACACCTAAGAATTGACCTCATCAAAAGTTTCATTCCCTTCCCCTCCTCTCTCTCTCTCTCTCTCTCTCTCTCTCTCTCTATATATATATATATATATATATATATATATATATATATGGGGTCGGCATCCAATTCACCAACTTCATCTCTTGTATTTGTTCTCCCTCTTCCTCATCTTCCACTGCTCTCCATCCCTCGTCGGAGCTTCTTAATCTCCCTCTCGATTTCCTTGTGTTTGTATTGTACTTGCTAACTAGAGAAGGGACATGGGCTGCACCCAAAGCTCAAGCAAGGCGTCACCGCCGAAGGACTGCGTGCGGGTGATCCACATGACCGGCTACGTGGAGGACGTGAAGGCGCCGGTGACGGTGGCCCAGATCAGGAGGAGGAGTCCTCCCAATGACGTGCTCTACTCCTACGACTACCTCACCACCTTCGGCTCCAACCATCTCCGGCCCGACGATCAGCTCCAGCCGGGCCGCCTCTACTTCCTCCTTCCCCAGGACGTCATCCGCTCCGAGGCCTCCGCCGTCGATGTCGCCAACCTCATGAACCGCCTCGTCGCCGCCGCCAAGAAGCGCGGCTCGGCCCCGCCAGTCGTCACCCTACCGAGCCGGTCGCGGCCCCCGGCGTGGAAGCCGAACCTCGACTCGATCGAGGAGCAGCCGAACGACAGCGACATCGAGTCGAACGACGGGAACAGCAGTTTCTGGTCGTCCTCCAGGGAAACGTGAAAGACCGGCAAAGGAAGCAACTGTCTCTCTTTGAAGCCAACATTATACTGAGGTAGGCCATTGAATCGGAACAAAGAACATTCCATTCTTAAATCTTTTCTGTTGTTTCATCAAACTTAATCAATCCAAGCAAAGCTGAGCATGACCAATCTGACATGATCGTATCGAGCTTTCACCCGCGCGACAGCGATATCAGAATCTATGTTCTTGAGTTCTGATCCCAACCACCCATGAAAAGAAAGATAGTGTGTCATCTAGGCTTCACGTGAAGCATATGGTTTGCGTGACAGTAGATTACTGTGTTCATAGCTGTCTTCTTTCATCAAAGCTGCGACCTTAATCTGCACCTTTTTCTTAGCATGACCAGTTTGGTAGCAACCAGGAACGAGCAGAAGATGCAGCAGCAAGATTAAAGGCCTAAGATACCTCTCCTTGATGCCGGAGAATCTTATTAGCACTTTGACCTTCCACATTACATTGACATAAAGTCAAATGATGAGAAGAAAAAGGAAACAGAACATAGGGAAAAAAAAAATAAGATTCTCCGGACAAAATCTCATTATGTTTGGATGTCTCAAATTCTAACTCATCCTAAACAACACTTGGAAGCTTTAAGATGGAACAAAATCCTCGATGTCTTCTGCAACTATGGTTTTCACTGCCGCTCTTCCTCTATCGCTTGCTGGAGAAGGGATGGCCTCCTCACAAAGCGACCCTGCAAGAACAGCAGTGGTTGGAAAGAGATCAAGCGTAAGTGTAATAATCAATTTTCAAATAATAGTAAGAAAGATACTATTAGTCAGTCCACCATCAAACCAAATAAAAGAAGAAAAAAATTAATATAAACATTTTAAAATAAAATTATATTTTTTTTAAAAAATATTTATAGGATCTCTCAACTTCGGTATCGTCCTTTCTATAAGGTATTTTTTTGTAGTTCCTCTTCTAATGTCCATCTTTGTCGTAATGAAAGTACTGGTCTTTATCCTTTGTTGGGTCTTTCTTTCTTAGCAACCATTACTTTACCCGATTTATCTTTGCCCTTGTCCTTAAGAAATTTTTTTGTCATTCTTTTCTTTCTGGTCTCACTAAGATAGAGAATTGGCTTCTCTTTTTTAATAGTGCTCTCTGTCTCTTTCAACATATTAAGGAGCTCAAAAAACTTAGATGAATTTATATATGTAGATGATATCTATTTATAGAAATAAAATAACAATTTAAACCAAGAGACTTTTCTCTTTAAAATTCTATCTAATAACTTATTTAAATGATAAAAGATAAAAATCTAAAATCTTTCAAAAGACAATACTTTAAATAATAACACTCCATATTTTTTAAGATAAATCCCACTTCGAACATCTTCAAACGAGCCTTTGGAGAAAGATTTGATAAATATATGATATGACCCAAGACTCCTTGAAGCATATTTTCTCGGATCAAATATTATTCAATTTTAATATATTTAGTTCTTGCATGATAACTTAGATTTATAGTCAATTTTAAGATATTTTGATTGTCACACAATAAAATAATTGGTTTGTTAATGTAATAGTAAATATATTCGATTAAACATCTCAATCATATACATTTTTGAGATTGATTGGTGTTTTTTACTACATAAGATACAAACAGAAATATGTAAAAAACATAACTAAAAGTGATTTCTAGTTGTGTCCTAAAGATATTTCTCTATGAGGTAAGACTATAAATATCATATCTTATAATTAATTAAAATTTTAAATATCAAATCTACCGATTCTGACTATTGTAATTTATAGTTAAAAAAGATTATCCTAAATATATTAAAATATAAATAGGAAGTGATCATATGTAAGTGTAATCAAATTTTAAATAGTAATAAAAAGGTATTACTAGTCTAAAATCAAACTAAATAAAAGAAGAAATTAAAACGAAAGTAAAATAATAATAATAATAATAATAATAATAATAATAATAATAATAAACAAAAATATTTAGAGGATCTTAAACTACTATTTGATTTGAGCCTGTAAACCTAAACACTTACATATGAATGGATGTAGACATCATTTATTTATAGATATAAATAATAATTTAAATACTTTTATTTTTTATTTTAAATTTAATTATTTTATTTAAAAAAGAAAAAGAAAAAAAATCTAAAAACTTCTAAAACATAATACTTAAAATCCTGAAAGAGGGGAGAGATGAAGTCTCGAGCTTGCCTTCATCCTGGGCCGCCGGTCGGCGTTCGTTTTCCGCACCTGGTACCGGATCATTTTCGAGAACAGTCGGCTCCTCCGCTTCTCCTTGTACCTCAGAACGCTCGCCTCCCTGACTCCGCCGACGCCCGCCGCGTCAAGAAAGAGATCGATGTCAGCCAACCTGGCCTGCGAAACCAGACCGCCAGGATGAGCAGAGCAGTCCTTGGAGAGAGAGAGAGAGAATTCGAGTGATTTGAACTGATAAAGATGGAGACATGATGCTTACGAGAGCGTCGGCGGATGAATTCGGCGAGTCAGGGCCGTCTGAGAAGATGGAGCCGCTGTCAGACCATGCATTGATGACCTCCTCGTGGCTCAGTTTGAGCCCCAGAGAAGCCTTCAGCTTTTCCTGCGGTGGGTTGGGAGTAGCGCTTGCGGAATTCTTCGTGCCATCCACTTCCTCCTTGTCCACCTTCTTCTTCTTCTTCTTCTCCAAAGCCGGCGGCGTCACCGTGGCCGTCGACGGGTTGATATCTGGAGTGATGTCTCGAACTGGTACTGTTGGAGACCTCCACCAGTAGCCCTCATCGCTGTTCCTCAGCGCTCGCTGCAAGTTTCTTCTGAGCCTGAACCCGAGGCCGAGCTCGAACTTGCCGCCCATTTTGCATCCGATGAGACTCCGAAGCAAAGGATTGATGCCGGAATTGGAGTGATTCGATCCCTCACTTGTGTCGTCGTCGGTGGGAGTGTTCGTGTTGAGGTTGCCCATTATGCTGTCGATGCCCGCTTCGACCTCCTGATCGAGAATGGACTCCGCGTCGAAGTCGTCATCATCGTCGAAGGGGTTCGGGGAGTTAGGCTCCCAGGAGACGTTGCTCACTGGGCTCGTGCACTCCTTCTCGAACGGAACCTTAAGCTTGAGCTCGACGCGTACGGCGGCGGGTTTCTCGGGCTGAATCTTGTCGATTAGGAAGCCGGCGTCGCCGAGGACCGGGAAGGGCGGCAGGAGGTCGGAGGATTCAGGGAAGGAGGCAAGAGTTCGAGGGTTCTTGGACAGCTTCTTTAGGCTCTTGGTGGAGAAGATGTTGGGGTAGATGGTGGAGAGGAGCGCGGCGGCCTCATTGTAGGTCTGATTGGGTCTCTTCCGCGGAGTTCTCGCCCTCTTGATGGAGATTGTGTTGCTCGATTCGGAGAGGGTGGAAGAAGGCGAGGAAGAGTCCGACGAGCGGCCCGACGACGGAGACGATGGCTTGACGATGTCGAGGTCGAAGCCGTAGGCCCGGCCACCGCCGCCGCCGAGGCACGACGACATGGTAGCTCGAAGAAAACGATGCAATTGTACAACCTACAAGCCTCAGAATTCTATGCTTCAGATGAGTCTGAGACCGAAAACAACCAAAATCTACTCCTAAAACCCTAAACCTTTACGGAGTTCTGCTCCTCTATTAGAACATTCAGACAGAAAATGTCCAGCATCCGACAGAGATGAGAAGGGAATGAAGAACAGAAGCAAGATTGTGAAGCGGCCAAAACCCCTAAACCCTTGAGCAGAAAGGGAATCAAGTAATTGACCTGAATCCCAAACCAAAACAAGAAGATGGAATCCAAAAATCCAGATTGAATTCTTTGCTGCAGCAAAGATCCATTCTTTGGAAGAAGGGAGAAACGACCAGCAGCTGATGAACTGATGAACTCAATTCGTTGCAGGCCAAAATCCGAACTTTCGATTCTGACGACTCCAAAGCTTGAAGCTTTGCTCCACCGTCCCTCCTAGAACCGAAATTTTCATTCGGGAAGAAGGTAATCGAATCGAAACCGAAGAGAGTCCATAAAATGCTTCCTTTTCTCAAGCACCTAACGAGAACGGAAGTCGATTCAAATGTTACAGAGGACTCTTATTTCAGAGAACAAAACAGGGGCAGGTCCTGCTTCCCAGAATCTACAGAAGATTGGATCTGAAGAGCCTGAGAACGGATTGGAGGCGATGAAGGCAGCGCGTGAAGGGATTCTAGAGGGTGGGGGGGAGCGGAGAGGCGCTTTAGAAACCGAGCAAGAAGGGAAGCGACAACAGTCTATCATCCATGTTCGGTTGGACCACTGCAGGTCTCGCTCTCTCTGTTGTCTGCTGCTCCATTGGTGATTTGGTGGTGTTGTGGAATGATTTCATGTTGTGCTGTGACTCTTATGCCCCCTCACACTGAGTGGCTCCAATGTCACTGCCACAGCTCCATAAATTAGTGTGCACTTTTGGTGCATGACAAATTGCTGAAGAAATGCCTGTTAGAAAGTTGTGTCTTACGTAGTTTATAATGCAGTATAACAATGATTAAGAAAAACCATTTTGAGAAGGCCAGCAATGGCAGCAGATTTGTATTTGGAAATATAGTTTGTGGTCAGGTCACTATCTCTTTGTGCAGATTTTTGCTTGGTGATGCCAAATAAACTCCTTTTCCATTAACATTTCAGCTCTTGTTTGCTCCAAATTTAGTTTCAGCTTTGCATCATATGCTAGTTCCTGTTCACAGTGTTGTTTATACTGTGTCAAATTTAGGATCAAACATTATAAGAAAATGACTCCATAGTTCAACTTGTAGTATTGACATAAGATGCATTGATAGCAGATAACATTCATTGTTCTTGATGTTAATTGTGCTTTGTTTCTCTTTTTTTTTTGGTGACAGATGCATAGTGGTACATATCAAATTTATAGGACTCAAAATTGAAGGAAGATTCAAAGATAATGAGGGAACCTCACAGAAGTCTCAGAATATCCAACACACATCCAGGTAACCTATGATAATCCAAAATGCTGCTATATATCTGATTATAACAGTACTTCAATTTCAGATTCTTTTAGTTTTTATTATCTTCTCTGTCAATCCAGATTCAAATTATTCACAAGTCAAATCTAATATATTATATGGGCGTACCAAGTGCACAAACAAATTTCATAAACTTTCAGAAACAAATTTCATCTTTCAGGGATCAACAAATTATTACTAATATATTATATTGTATGATTAATTAAAATATAATCTTTCTGGGATCAACATAAACAAATTTCATTATCGTTTATTTTTTACAAAAGAGCATAATTAAGTACCAATCAGACATCTCAAAGATATGGTGCCGAAAATATATGATCTATTGACATAATAAGAAGTAAGAATACTGAGAGGTTATATCTGTGAACATTTGATTCAACCAAGTGTTCTTTGGTCTTTCCATGCAATTCAAATTAGTCCCACTTGTAACACATAGCAGTAGTTTCCTCAAAGCCAGGGTTAGTTCTGTCAGCTCCCCTCCTTGGGGATTTCTGAAGCCATCATCTTACACCATCCTGACCTTTGTTGAGGGCATTGCTATCTGTTGACATGGCTCTCTTCCATTGGCTGCAGTAGATTTTGGGGCCTACAAGTCATGAGCTTTGTTGGCCCTCAGGTCACCTCGTGAATCCAGATGAGGCTGAGGGCATGTCTCTCTTCGGATCTAACAAGGAGACGTCAATGATTCGAGCAGTTTGGCCTCGCTTCTGCATTTAGTGTGTGGTACATTTCACTCCTACGTTGGTGTCCTGCGTTCAGTCACCAATGATGTGAAGCTTTTCACCTCAAGTGATATTTTAGCTAAGGTCTGAGAGCTTCTACAAGGATTGCTTGCATGATTTGGATGTCTAGGATCTTTATAGAAACTGAGAAGATGATATTACTTTGAGTACTCTGTCAAATATCTTTTCCTTGTCCTGATATTTTGAGGAACTAGGAATATTTGCAGACAAAAGAAATAAGCTTTTTTTTTCTCTTCCTTTTTCTCCTTTCCTTTTCATTTTTCGCAGTAGCGGTGGTGATTTTTGCACTAGGTGGTAACATGCCCACCAGACAAAGTTAGTGATCATCTCCAGAATGATTTGGTTGCACTAAACTGATCAGTAGCATTTGATCTCACACTATTACCAGTTTCTGAGTTTAACATCTTCGTATGTGAGCTTGAGTTGTATATCTAGATTAAGAAGATATCATCAACGATGCAACATCTACATCCTTAAAATGGTTCTTGAAGGCACTAGGATTCAGCATGGTTGATCATTTTGCATGAATTCAGAACAAATAGTGAAAAAGTTTGACATCTAAAACCATTCCTCAGGTGCCTTTATCCCTTTACCAGAACACTACACCCCTCTGACCTGGTGTGCCTTATCCCTTCATTGGATGATCTGGAGGTGTTATGGCCTCTTGATATGGATAAAGAGGCTGTGGAGAGTCCTTCCTTCACATGATACTTAGGAGAGAGAGAAGGTTGGGGGACCAATCATCATAAAGTTTGTACCCATCAAGAAAGAGGCATCTAAACCTCTGAAGGACAATAATATTCCCATTTCAGTCATGTACTGTTTCTACTTTCTCTGGTGGAAGTCTATTAGCATCAAAATTAACAGATACTCTCTTCAACCATGAAGTATCAATTCCGTACTTAATGAGGCTACTCCATTCTGCATGAACTGAAGTCTGATCTTTACTTTGGTCCAAGAACATACAAAATCTATTTATTACTTGGTAGAAGAAGGCTCCAATGTCTGTGTCACAAGCCAATTTCTTACCTTATCACCTTCCAAGCCATGAGACTTGAACTTTTAAGGTCCTCAGAACTGACACGTTTATGTTGATCTGATGTCCATTTTCAATTACCTTCGACATCATTTGAAAAAAAAAAAATATTGACCCTTTTCATAACGAAATCCCTCCAGATCTTCTCATTTTACTCTTCTTATCTGAATATCTTCTTCTGTGGCCATGGATTCTCTGTGCTGTCCTAATTGTCATCGGACATAGGCAATAAACTATCAATGGTAATCGAATTAGACTGACCAAATGTGAGGCTGAACATCTGAAGAAAATTTAACATGGTTTTTATCTCTCATTCTTTAGCTGCAAAAATGCTACTGTTTTGATAGACTTAGAGTTGCATTTTTCAGAAGGCGAGGAACTCTGCTTGATTGCTTTTGCAGAAACTAGAGTTATAAAACCTAATGAGATGTGAATAAGTTTTCAGGTCTGTCTTCCTGCCAATGCCAAATTGCAGCTGCAGTGGCCCCATCAAAGCACAAGCTAAACTGGAGGAGGGACTTCTTGCAGTTTTACCAGCATCTCTGCATCATCTGCATAGGAAAAGGGCAAAGTTAAGGGGATGGGTCACCATGGTTTGTCCAAAGATGGTATGTGGTCCATGTAAACTTTTCCTGCTCATGCAATGACAAACCTTTTCCTAGATATGCTTTTTCCATATGAAGATTTGGTAGGAGGACTGTACATTGTCCAGTTTCATCAGATTCATAGATGAAAACAAATCAAATCCATAAACTATAGCTAAGCAGTTTGTGAAATCAAACTAAATCATTTCCTACTATTCTGGTTTTCTAATACAGTTTTAAGTTTTTGGTATAGACTGAATTATTGTTCAAAACCATGATTATTACCACTTAAATACAGACTAATAAGAATCGTAAGTCAAAGATATTTCATAATTAAATGGTTTGGGATATAAAAAATTGTATTGACCATCAAACCATCATTGAGACCAGCATGTCACTCTGGGTATTGAATGATGTATCTCTAACAAGGTTTTATACACCTTTGGAAACTATTAATATAGATTAGTGACATAATTTAAACCTATTGCGGTCCTTTATGTCGTGTCATGGGGGTCGGTATCGTTTGGTTCAGTCCCGATTGCGCTAGAGCGTCCACGTAGGTGTCCAAGACAAAGATGAGAATGTCGGGTCGAGGGCTGGTGTCTCCTGAGCCGACCCAAGGTGGAGCCTGGATTCTCTTTGGCATCACTTTCTTGCACAAAAGGTCGATGTTGGGAGGGGGATTCTTGATTCGACCTCTCCAAAGCTTAAGTTAAAATTTGGAGTATTTGGAGCGTTTGAGGTCCGATCCTCTAGCACTGGCCAAGGGATTGACATTTATAACTGTTGCAGGGGGTTGGTCGTATGTAGGTCATTAATGGTTGTCGATGCTCCAGGCGACCGATCCGTATGGTTCGGACGGTGTAGGTCGACCTGTATGGTTCCACGTTGTGCGGCGCCCCCTTTACGATTTCGGGCGGCGTGGGCATGACCACGCGCCGCTATCGAGCTAACCACGTCACTCTTGAGATCATACCGTGCATATGCACCACGTCGACTCTAAGGTGGCCGCCGACTGTCGTCATGTGGGCAGTACCATAATATTCCTTATCATTTTCTCCCCCCCCAAAGGTGTGCATCGAGTTCCTCGTAAGGGGGCTCGAGGTACATCCTTTTGCACTACGGGCAATCGGGGTCCCTGCTTCTCAGTCGGATCCGTGGTGCCTTTAGGTGAATGCGATTCATCGTGGTAGGCCTTTCTCGGGTCGGGTGACTCGTCTCTGTTTCCTGGGCTTGTCATAGTAAGTCCTATGCTCTTCCAGGCTGCACGACTCGAGCGCTTGTCCCGCCATAGCGGGTCTCCCTTGGCCAAGTTGGACAACTCAAGCTTTTGCTCCATCATAGCGGGTCTCCTTGGTCAAGGTGCACGACTCAGGCACATGCCCGCCATAGCCGGTCTTCCTTGGTCAAAGTGCATGACTCGGGCACAAACTTCGCCTTAACGGGCCTTGCTTAGTCGAGGTGCACAACTTGGGCATATGTCCGCCGTAATAGGTCTTCTGTCGAGGTGCACGACTCGGGCACATATTCGTTGTAGCAGGTCTTCTTTGGTCGAGGTGCATCACTTGGGCATAGGATCTGCCTTAGCAAGCCTTGCTTGGCCGTGATGCATGACTCAGGCATATGTCAATCCTAGCAGGTCTTCTAGCCGAGGTGCATGACTCAGGTACAAGCTCCACCTCAACGGGCCTTTCTTGGCCGAGGTGCACAACTTGAGCACAAGCTCAGCCTTAGTGGGTCTTGCTTGGTTGAGGTGCACGACTCGGGCACATGTCTGCTGTAACGGGCCTTTCCTGGTCGAGGTACACGACTCGGGCGTAGGCTTCGCCTTAGTGGCCTTGATTAGCCGAGATGCACGACTCGGGCATATGTTCGCCATAACAGGTCTTCCTTGGCCAAGGTGCCCGACTCAAGCATAGGCTCCGCCTTAGCAGGCCTTACTTGGCCGAGGTGCATGACTTGGGCACATGTCCGCCGTAGCGGGTCTTTTGGCCAAGGAGCACCACTTAGTGCCTGAGAGGGCAAAAGAGACCATCTCCCAATGCAAGGAGTCAAACGGGTTCAAGCTTGGGCTCCAAAGGTCGGGACAAGTTACCTACCAATACAAGTACCTGGTTGCCCTCGGGTGCTTCTAGGTGAGGTATCCTAACCTCGAGGTCGAGGTGGACCCATTTGCCGACCTCCCTAAGGACCAAGACGTGCCGATGGACAATGAGGTGCTCTTCGACAATAGCCCCAAGTTGTCGCCTCCGGCTTCATAGGGAACCGATTGCCCTCTCGGTCTTTTCCTTTTATTTTTGTTGTAACGGGTCGAGTTTTGTTTTTGACTATAAAGTCTCGATCAGTCAAAAAATGTATTCTTCTTTCATCAATGAAAAAACCTTTTATGAAGTTCTTTCTTTTGTCGCTCGACCAGCTGAGTTCACAATGTTGGATTGTTTATAAGTTAGCTAGTACAATCTTGGCAGATGATTCTTCGATCATCGGACCGACGTGGTTTTGGAGCATCATCAGTGGATGACTTTGATCGTCTACCTAAGGTGGTTTAGGAGAATCATCAGTGGATGACTTTGGTTGTCTGCTTAAGGTGGTTTAGGAGAATCATCGGGGCTAGGAACTCGGGCCTACGCGTAGAACTTCTTTAGGTTGGATATGTGCCAAGTCCTTGGCAATCGACTTCCTTCTAATGTTGTGAGGCAGCAAGTTTCGTCTCGGCCCATGTCGATCACCCGATAAGGGCCTTCTAATGTCGTGAGGCAGTCGAGGCTCGAATAGGGTCACTAATCTTGGTCTTGCGTAGGACGAGATCACCGACCTTAATATGGTGGGGGTGAACCTTTTGGTCGTGGAGTCTCGCCACAGCTTTTTTGTACACTAAGGTGTGGAGGTGCTTCTCAGCTCTTCATTCATCGACGAGGTCACGGTTAGCTCGGAGCCCTTCTTCCGATGTGCTTTCGTCGAAGTTCTCAATCTGAAGGGTCGGGAAGATTATCTCAAGCGAGAGTATTGCCTTGGTGCCGAACATTAGACTAAACGATGATTCGCTCGAGGCGATTTTGGGAGTAGTTTGAGATGCCCATAGGATACTCTAAAGTTTGTCGACTCAAGTGTCGTAAGCCTCGACGATCCTTCTCTTTAGACTTTCCAATATGGCTCAGTTAGTCACATTGGCCAAGCTATTGGTCTAATCATGTGTCACCGAGCTGAACCTTAGCTGGATCGCGTAAAATTGGCAGAATTCCTTGAATATAGAGTTATTGAACTGGGCTTCGTTGTCGGTGATGATCACCCTCAATATGTCGAATCACATGATTATGTTCTTCTAGACGAACCCTTCCACCTATTTTTTTTTGAGATGGACGCTAGTGGTTTGGCTTCCACCCACTTTGTTAAGTAGTCAACCCTGACTATAAAGAACCTTCGCTATCCCAAGGCAGGGGGAAAAGGGCCGAGGAGATCCGTTCCCCATTGCGCGAAGGGCCAAGCGCTATCGATTGGGGTCGAGGAACTATGGGTTGATGTTGTATCCAAGCATGCTTTTGGCATTATTGACATCGTTGCACATAGGCTATAGTATCCCAGTGCATGGTCAACCAATAATAGCCCCGCCCGAGGATCTTGAAGGCCAAGGTTCGTCCGTCGATGCACTCCTCGTAGAGGCCTTCATAGACCTTGGCCAATACCATCTCGACTTCCGGAGGCGTTAGGAATCGAAGGAGAGTTTGGCTGAAGGATCTACGATACAACTGGCCGTTGATTTCATAGTACAAGGCTTGGGAGCATCTAAGTCGACAAGATGCAGCTTGGTCAACTGGTAATGTCCCATCCTTCTTGTAGCAGAGGATCTCCTCCATCCAATTCAGTGTGATTTCTACTGCAGCGATGTATTGGGTCACGATAGTTCGGGAGGCAAGTGTATCGATGCTCAAGAGTTGTCCCTTCATTCCCCACACAAAAGCCAACTTGGCTAATGCATCGTCCTTTGTGTTCTTCGCCCGAGGGACTCTTGTCACTGAGAGACAGAGGAAGCAACTTGCGAGTCGACGTACTTCAGCCAAGTACTTCGCCAGTCATATCTCGGGTCTCGTAGCTTCCATTGATGTGGCTTACTACCAATTGTGAGTCGTTGAAGACTTCTAGCTCTTTCACATGTAACTCTAGAGTCAGAGCCCTGACAATAGTGTCTCATACTCAGCTTCGTTGTTGGTGGCTTTGAACTCGTAGCGGAAGGCGTGCTCGTACAATTGGTTGTTCAATCCCTATAGGATGAGCCCTGCTCCTTTTTCTATGATGGCTGACCCATTGACATAGAAGGTCCATCTCTCATTGGTGTGTCCTTGACCATCGGCTTCCTTTATGGGGGTCAGCTCAGAAATGAAGTCGTCCAATGCTTGGGGTTTGATGGTAGTCCTCGGGAGGTATTGGTTGTCGAATTCCTTGAGTTCGACCGACCACTTGAGCATCCGGCTAGAAATGTTGAACTTGGAGAAGATTTGCTGACGTGGTTGGTCAGTGACCACCTTTATCATATGGGCTTGGAAGTACAAGCATAGCTTCCTTACTGCTTGCATTAGGGCTAGTGCCAGTATCTCGATGGGGTGGGGGTATTACTCCTCGGGTCCGCTCAGGACGTGACTGGCATAATAGATGAGCCACTGTGTTCTCGTGTCCTATCGTACTAGCACTGAACTAATTGTATGGTTGGAGACCGTGAGGTATAAACTGAACGATTCACTCGGGACGACAAAGGTGAGTTGAGGTAGTTGGGTGAGGTGCGTCTTCAACTTTTTGAAGGCTTCCTCACATTTGGGGGTCCACATGAAGTCCTTGGAGCACTTTAGAACTTGGAAGAAAGGGAGGCATTTGTCGCCTGACCGAGACAAAAATTAGTTGAGCGTTGTTAGTCTTCCAATGGGTTGGGCTCCTTTAAGAGCCCTTTCTCCCTGATTTGGAGAAAAATCTACAATCTATACATGTTTAAGGGTGGTAGAGGGGCCTTGGGAGTGACGAATCGGGTTTGTCGAGCTTCCTCCTAGGTGGTCCCAAGGATGAGCCTCGGGGCTATTTCGTGCGGGGCCTTTTGCATGACTCCTTATACCTTCTTGCCGTTAGCGCCTCAGCAACAACGTACTGATTAGTCTGTTGGAGCATCTCGGGGATGGTCGTTGGCGACCTCTTGACCAATAACCAAAAGAATGTTATGGACCGTAGGCCCATCATGAATACTTGTATGACTAATGAGGGGTAGGCGTTAGGAGCCCCTTGAATTTCCCTAGCGAAGTACATGATAAAGAGGGAAAAGGACTCATCCTCCTTCTGGCTTAACCCAAGGAGGATCATCGTGGACGGCTTGGGCTACACGTTGGCTAGGAGCTTGAATTCCCTTGCAAGTTGGTCAAAAGACGAGATCGAAGATGGCCTCAGTCGATTGTACCACACTCGAGTCGAGCCTCGGAGGGTGGTAGGAAACGCCCGACACATCAAGGCGTCGGAGGTGCCATACAGGGCCATATGGGCCCCGAAGGCGATGACATGCTTTATTGGATCAGAGCCACTATCATAGGCCTCCAATATCGGGAGGTCGAAGTTGAGAGGGATGGGCTTGTTTTGAATTTTCTGGACGAAGGGGGGGGACCTTGCCGAGGTGCTTTCCTCAAGTTTTTCCTTGGACTTGTGGAATTCCCTTTGGACCTCGTCTAAGTGCTGATCTACCAGCCGTAGTTGGATTTGGAACGAGGCTGCACGTCAGGTCGAGGGCTAGTGTCTCCTGGGCCAACCCAAGGTGGAGCTCGAATTGCCTCTTCGGCATTACCTTTCTGCACAATATGTCGATGTAGGGAGGGGGATTCCTGACTCGACTCCTCCAAAGCTTAAGTTAGTTTTTTAAGTATTGTTGAGTGTCTAAGGTCTGATCCCCTAGCGCTGACCAGGGCGTCGACATTATACTTGTCGTAGGAGGTCGATTGTATGTAGGTCGTTAATGGTCGTCAATACTTCGGGTGGCTAGTCCGTATGCTTCGGACGGCGCGAGTCGACCCGTATTATTTCACGTAGCGCGATGCCACCTTGTACGATTTTGGGCGACATAGGCATGGCCACATGCCGTTGCCGAGCCAATTGCGTCTCTCCTGAGATCGTACCATGTGCGTGTGTGGCATCGACTCCGAGGTGACAATCAGCTATCGTTATGTCTATATTTTTAATTTCTTGGGCCTTCCATTTTCAATAAAGGTACTCAATAACCCTAACTTCAGGCATTGGGTAGTTGTCTTCCCATTATATCTCCGTATACAAACATAGTAATCTATTTTGATGAAATAATATGATCCTATAGGTTTTATGAGAGAGCAAATCATGTAATCTTTCAGCTGATGTGCATAAATCTTGTGTTCGACCTGAACGCGACTTAAATTTTATGAATTACTTGTTTCGGGTTCATAAATGTCTCGGGTTCGGAGCTTACATGGATCCGATTCGCGGATTGGGGGTCCGCCCGTCACCAACGAGGCTCCACGTTAGCCACTAAAGGAACCAATTTGCATTTAATTACGAATCGCCCACTTGAACCCATATCTTCCTTCGTCTCCCGCTGCGCTTCCCCTCCAATTTTTCTAGGTTTTCGGATACCAGATCGATCGGCCCCTCCCCCTTCATGGCGGAGGTCGTCGACGCGCCCGCCGAAGCGCTAGATCGAGGGCGGGATCTCCAGCCGGAGCCGCGCGAGAGCCCTGGCGACGGGTCCTCCTCCCCGCCGCCACCGCCTCCGAGGAGGAGGGACAGGGATTCGAGGGAGCGGAGGGACGATTGGCCCCCGAGCCGGCGGGATGATCCCCACGATCCGAGGAACCGCTCACCGCCGCTTCCCCCGCCTCCGCCTCTGGGGCCGCCGAGGGACGACAAGGATCGGGAGTACCGTAGGCGGAGCAGCCCGAGCCCACCGACGTACCGTGACCGCCGACATTCGCCTCCCCGCCGGTCCCCTCCGCCTGGGCCATTTAAGCGAGCTAGGAGGGATGACGGTGGATATGACCGGCGTCGAGGTAGCCCGAGAGGTGGTTATGGACCGGATGACAGAAGGTGAGCGACAGATTCTTTTTTCCTTTAGTGTCAATTCGCAAGCTCCGGTGGTCAGATTACCTGTGTGGGGCACTATTAAGATGCTATGATTTGCTCATAATTATAGATATGGCTATGATTATGGTGGTGGATACAATCGTAGAGGTTGGTACAGAGACGAGAGGTCTCATGGTCGCTATACAAATCGTCCATCTGGTAATTGTTCATGCAGCATTTCTTGGTTTCTGGTTATGGAATTGAAGATATGCTAATAATGTACTATACTTTAGGACTCCCTTCTATATAAGGACAAGCTTTTGAGGAATTCATATTGAGAAGTTCCTTATAGGTGTTCATCCATGAAGGATTGGCATTTTACAGGTCTAAAGAAGTTATCCATACATAATGTAATTCTTACATTTTATAGGCTTATTTAACAAGGTTTTCGTGCAAACTTTATGAATTTAAGCTATTTAAGTTTGATAAGATGTGTACTGCTGTATTAGGAGGAAAAATGGTGAAAGTTTTTAATTCTATTTCTTCTGGAAAGTATAGTATGATATTGTTACTAAGTTTCATGACTAGAACAATTGTGCTGGATTTGGGTCATTCATGGGTTGTGGATTGCTTGCTGTATAGGTATTAGGACTATGGGACATAAGGTGTAGTTGTTATTGCTGCAATTGCTTCTGCTAATGCTCCTGGAACATAGCTGTATAGAAGCAGCTGTTATCAATTTGCAATCACTTCTATCAACATTGTTATAGGCTGTGACAAAATTATTTTCTTGTAACACGTAAATTTTAGCTTATAGTGACTTGGAACTTAAGGAGCAATGCTTATTCGAAGAGTCAAATTACAACAATCAATGAGAGGTTAGCTGATCCGAAGCAGTTATGTAGATGGAGATGTAAGAACACTGGATCTTAGTTTTTTTGTTTTTTGGTCAACTATAGGCAATAAATATAAACCAGGTTTCATCTGTTAGAAGAAAGAGGCAATTAAATAATAATAGTATGCATTAAATCCTTGTCAAATTTGTTGTTAGATAGGACTTTTAAGATCTATAATGTTATGGTGACAAGGTATCGAGGTGGCCAAAGCTTAAAATTGAAAATTAATTAGTTTGACAAGTAATTTGATCATGGAGATTTCATCATACTGTTTGACGAAAGAAAAATCAACTACCTACATTTTGTTATCACATATTATTCAAGACTCTCAACTGACTTGATTGAACTTAAACTGATTATGACTCATTTGGACTCAAATGGCAAATTTTAGGTCCAATTCAACCTCTGGTGAACTCAGTCTCAATTGTAAATTGCATCAAGCATTCATTACATTTTAACTGCAAGCCATGTGTAGCTTGATTTAATATTTATAAAGGAGAACTTATTTTTTAGAAGGCTAGCTCAATCCCAGAATTTAGGCGGATCAATTTAAAGACAGCTTTGTTAAATGTAAGCTTATCTTGTCTTGGTTTGTTGGTTCAAAGTTTGATCTGTAAATTCATATCTTGGATTTAGGACATGGCATTCTTACCAATTGCTATATGAATTGCTAATTTTTCCACTCTTGGATATGCTCATCATTATAGGTTAACATTGGTGTTTGGTAGATTGGATTTAGTTTTCAAATGTGAACCAAACTTGTCAAAGCTGCAAGCTTCATCAAACTCAGTGGTTTCCGCATCTGCTTTAGATTTCATGTGAAATAGTTACCATATTGAAGGTTCTCTTGTCCTGAGTGCTCATGCATGCGCCTCTTGTTACAAGCATTTATGTAAAATAAGTTGTATTTGCTAGTTCACGGTATCTTGAAATAAATTAAATTGATTTAGTAATTATATGAAGATACCTTACAGTAGAGCTTATTCATTCTGTCTGATCCTTTTTGTGCTGATTAGTTTCTGAAATTCTAGGATTCTTCTTGTGATATTTGTCAGATTGGCCTGATATAGGATATGGTGATTATGGTGATGGCCCTGAGGTTATTCAAAGGTTTGTAGTTTTCCTTCTTTTAGTGCAGTTTAATTGCTTTGTTGTGGTCCCTATTACTAATTTAACTAAGGTTTATTTTTTTTTATTGTCATGTTGTTCCAATAAAAGTCTCTTTTTTGTTGTGTAATAGATAGATTTTTCTTGTTGATATTCTTTAGGCATAGACACATTCATTTTGACTTGCAATTATCTTAGAATACAAGTGTTTTGCAACCTAAAAAGATAGTAAACCTACATAGTGATGTTTATCTGTTGGTATCATTTAGTATTATATGCTGATATCTGTACCTATTGTTCCATTCTTCTTGGTTCCTTAGTGGTTCCTTTTTGCTGACATTGTTTTGTTATTTAAGGAGCTGACCAAGAAGCTGGGAACTTCCTGATAAGTGATGCTATAGCCACACAAATTAGTTGTTTATAATCGTGTCTTGATAAATATTTTGGTGTTGCAAGCTGCAACTTTCTTTATTTTTCCTCTGACCTAATTGTTTAGATCATGAGAAAGAATCGTTCTCTAATGGTATGCTATGATCAAAAGAAAAAAAAATCATCTATCTATTGCTACAACACTTTGACCAAGGTACTGAAATTTTTTTGTTGCCTAATTGTCATCCATCTATTGCCCCACCTCTCTCTTTCCCTTTCTATCTTTCTCCCTCTCTAATATATCTCCAACCGCCTCTGTTCCCCATGTTGATGAACTTCTGATCTTGTCAGTCAGTATTTTGTATGATATGCAAGCTATTAGATATCTGTCCAGTATCAGTGTTGACAACCTTTTGAACCGTTACTGTTCCAAAGAACGAACTGGTATACTGACCTGTGCCATCCAGTGTTATGGAAAAAGATGATAAAAAATGGGTAACCAAGTGGTCTCAAGATGTATGATCCATGATTGGTGCTTGGTCAGACCAGTAAATACCAATCAGTATGTATCAGTTCAACCTGTATTTAAATTATGATCATTTGTTTCTTGCAATTTTTTTATCTCTACTGGAATTTTTGGTACCTTCCAAATCTTCATGTATAATTGGCCAATTCTAATGTTTTTATTGTTATAACCTTATTCAGTTTTTGTTACAGGGGAGGTTTGATGTCATATAAGCAGTTCATTCAAGAACTTGAAGATGATATTTTTCCTGCTGAAGCTGAACGCAGGTACATATCAAAAGGAAAATAGTTGTCACCTTAAATTGGGAATTTCTTATAAGCATTGTTAATGATGTCACTGAGCTTGTTCTTTTGGCCAGTTCAATGAATTGATTGATTTTCTGATTTTTCTTAGTTTAGCTAGTATGAACACTCAACTGTAGTTCTGGTCATGTAGATATGAGGAGTACAGGTCAGAGTACATCTCCACGCAGAAGCGAGCTTATTTTGAAGCTCATAAAGAAGAGCGATGGTACATGATGCCTACATTTATCTAAATATTACGTTTAGACGATGCATGTGATATATTTGAAGTCCTCATACATTATATAATGTTTTTTACCTTCTGATTGGTGTAGGCTGAAAGACAAGTATCATCCAACTAACTTGGTAGCAGTCATTGAAAGGTGAGTTTTGATATATGCAAACTACATTGACCTGTAATTAGAGATTGTTGCTACTTTATCTGGAATGCCTTTTGAGGTGTTCTACCTGAAGGATTTCTTTCTTGCAATTTTATTATGCTTCAAACAGATGACTTTTTTGTGCATGTCTCTTCATCAAGTTGTTATTGCTAGCTTGGTTTCAATGTTTCCATGCTTCTGCCTATTTATTGTTATCTTCACACTCGTTATTAATGCTTGTTGCATGCTATTACAGGAGGAAAGAACAGGCCAGATCTGTTGCAAAGGAGTTCTTGCTTGATTTGCAGAGCGGGACACTTGACCTGTAAGATTTTCTTCGCTGTCCTATTTGTGCTCTCTAAAAGATAGTGCTATGATTTTTTCCCCCTTGCTTATGTCATCAGTGGTCCTGGAGTAACAGTTTCATCAACAAGCAAATCTGGGAATGGTAGTGAACCAAACTCTGAAGATGAGGCAGACACTAATGGAAAACGAAGAAGGCACAATAAGGGGCCAGCAAAAGAAAATGATCTGCACTCTGCTGCCCTTAAGGCACACCCAGTCAGTTCTGAGCCTCGGAGAATTCAAGCTGACATTGAACAAGCTCAGGCCTTGGTCCGTAAACTTGACATGGAGAAGGGTATACAGGATAATGTCCTCTCTAGTAGTGGTCATGATAAGTTGGATGCAGAGAAATCTCGTGGGGGATCCATGGGGCGAATTATCATTATACGTGGCCTGACTACTGTCAAGGGCCTTGAAGGTGTCGAATTGTTAGATACTTTGATCACATTTCTGTGGCGCATCCATGGATTGGATTACTATGGCATGTCTGAGACATCTGAATTAAAGGGTCTTCGACATGTTAGGGCTGACAATAAGACTCATGATGGAACTAATGCTAGTGGATCTGACTGGGAGAAGAAACTTGATTCATTTTGGCTGGCAAGATTGCAAGGTCAGGATCCCTTGGAAACATTGACAGCCAAAGATAAGATTGATGCAGCAGCTACCGAGGCCCTAGATCCTTTTGTAAGGAAAATACGAGATGAAAAATATGGCTGGAAGTATGGATGTGGAGCTAAGGGCTGCACGAAACTTTTCCATGCTCCCGAATATGTTCATAAGCATCTTAGACTGAAACACCCAGACCTTGTGATCGAGCTCACCTCGAAAGTTCGAGAGGATCTGTATTTTCAAAATTATATGAAGTAAGCAATTAGCTTATATCATACCTGAAAATTTGGGGCTATAATGGAGAGACCTTAAATCACTTTGCTTCTGTCTCCAATGCAGTGATCCCAATGCACCAGGCGGGACACCTGTCATGCAGCAGTCTGCATTGGTGGGTCTTTTTTTGTTTTTTTGGTTAAGCATACTTCTTTTGTGCATGATCATGCTAACATGTTTCATTCATGCATATGTTTTTGTTGATCTTCTAGACTTGGAACACATCTACTACTATTTTGTTTTTTTTTGGGGTCAAAATATCAGGATTTCATTAAAAGGATTGCAAAGGGGAACAGGCTTCACTCAAAAGGATGTTTCTTTCATGCATATGTTTTCATTGATCTTCTAAACTTGGACCACATCTACTGCTATTTTGTTTTTTTTTAAGGTAAAAAAATCAGGATTTCATTCAAAAGATTGCAAAGGGGAACAGGCTTCATTCAAAAAGATAACTAAATCTATTGAAATGAAATATCACTAATGAAGAAAACTGGAATTTTAAAAATAAAAAAGCCAAGCTTAAGTTAAAAAATGATAAATCTCTGTTTTCCTTTTTTTTTGGACTTTAAAATTTGAATTTTAACAGTTTAACATATCCATTTATAATTTGTGCATTTATTCTTTTATTCATTGCTTGCCCTATGTGTTCTTGTAAAGCTATTTTGCTACTTATTTACACCAGGGGAAGGATTGCATGCCTATATGTTGAAAGTCACTTGCATGTGGATTTTTATAATTGTGATTTTGTATTCTTGTAATTTTGTATAAATTTAACACTGCACTTATCTGCGGAAGGTGAAAATGCAAAGACGGAGGCCACTGTTAGATAACCGCCTTAGAGATGAACGTGGCAATCGCAGAGATCTTGACAGGAATGATAGATATGATGACAGGCATGATAGGTCTGACAACTCCCCTCGCGATGGCAATGGTAGCTTGGAGGGGGAGAATCATGAGAAACTTCTATATGATGCTTATGGTGGACAAGGCTTGCATGGGGCATTTCCTTCGGATATTCCTCCTCCATTGTTGTTGCCTGTTCCTGGTGCTGGGTGAGTCAACATTCCCTTTGGATATTCCTCCATCAAACTTTTATTTCTATTTGATCTTCTGTGAAAGCATTTTGTATCATACATAGGCCACTAGGACCTTTTATCCCTGCCCCACCGGAGATTGCCATGCACATGTTGAGGGAGACTGGTGGGTCATCATCATTTGAGTCTAATGGTGGATCTCGTGGTAGGAAGGGAAGGCTTGGTCCACAAGTGAGTGGTCCAGCTCCAATTCTTCCTATACCTTCAGCATTTCGGCATGATCCCCGTCGAATAAGAAGGTTGGTAGCCTCCCTTGTGTTGGTTCGTGTTATATTACTTGCATCTAGGTCCATCCCAAGAACAAAAATGCTTTTCAACAGCTGTGTTTTCTCTTGGCCTAACAGTTGATGGGAAAGGGTTCCCTTTTCTTTGCACTTTGTTTCTTCTGAATATTTGGACTTGGATCTTGCTTTCAGGATCATGTCGGCATTACCTCATGCTATCTTCCTTGTGAAGATATATATTAGAGCTGATCATAACTTCTGTTTGCAGTTATCAAGATCTTGATGCTCCAGATGATGAAGTGACCGTTGTAGACTATAGGAGTTTATAGTTACCTTGTGTCCTTTTCATCTTTTGGAATGATATTTATTCCTTGATCAGAGTCACTGGAAGCCAAACCTCTGTTCACTGGCGGGTGACTTAATTTCCTCAGAGAGCACGCCACTTCTTGGCAGCGGAGTCACACGTCCTTTGAATCCATTTGAAGTGTTGTTTTCCGTAAGCAGAAGCGATGTTGTCAAATGATGTCTTTGTTGTGCCATATCATGTGATTGTATGCGTGTTACTTCAAGATTTTATTAGAAAGCCTTATCTCAGGCGTTATGTTTAGAAGTGAGATGTTTACACAGTAAGACAGTGGGCCGCCCAAAGTTATCTAACAGGTATTGAATCAATTTGCTGGCTTGTCTAAATGCTTGCAGATATCTATCTGATGGAGAAGATATTTCATTTCCGACTTGAACTCAAGACTTATCCCGAGACTTGACTCGTGATCTGGATCCTAATTGGGAGTGGGAGGTGGCATCTCTCCTGATGACAAATCCCCATTTATGAGTTAAGTCACGAGCTAAGCCTTAAGTTTAAGTCGGGATGACAAGCAGCAGTGCCATCCATGGGCAAGAGTTGGGACGTTTCACGAGGGTCGGCAACTCATCCTGGTAATTTCTCAACAGTTTAACCCTTTTTGTCTTCAGTATTTGCTTGATCCAAAAATATCAAGATAAAATGTCATCTCCTTTCAAAAATTCGTGTAATATTACTGGTGTATGCTTTTGTCATAGTTGCAAGATGACAAGAAAAATTTATCATATCTAACCGTATGTTTAGCGCAACATGATTTGCTTTTACTTGTCTAGCTGGGAACCTTTTTTTTCTTTTTTTAATGTATGGATGACACAGGTCGAGCTTCTCAAATTTCATCCGAACCATATCTAACTTGAATTAATTTGCTTGGTCGCAGGACATGACGAGCTTGTCCTCCGACACTGGTGGGCCAACGGTGGAGCTGTTCTACTTCGGCCGGCACAGGATACGTCTCGACGCGCTGGTGTGCCACCCAGTCCATGGGCCCTCTGTGCCGAAAAGATGTTTACTTTAAGGTAATAAAAAGAAGCTTTAAGCCCAGCCTGGCCTATCTGATCTTTTGATATAAGATATGGTTGGCATGCCAACAAGTGGTTTTTCTATACTAACACCTATCTGATCCATTTGAGATGGGTTAGGACATCTGCTACCTACTTTTTTTTTCCTTTATTTCCGACTATCCACGTCTATTCAACCCACTTGAAAGTTCCAAGTAGGGAAACAATGATGTGAGTTATATTTCAGGTGAGTTTGAATATTTGCATAATTAATTGGATTCGACAATCAAATACAAGTTGGACTTAGGATCATAAATAAACACAGCGACACTCTAACATGGCTCTCAGTATCTATCATGTGCTTTTGTTGATGGGTTTCAGCTGGTTTCAAAAATTTAAGCTGGAGAACCAACTCCATGGATGCTTCTGACGGTAGATGAGCTGAAGAAGGAGGAGGGGCAGGATCACGATGGGTCAGCCTGAGGTATCGTCCCAATCACACATACGGCCTTTGTTTTAGTGCAAACACATGTCAAGAGGGGTGGGGCCATGTCTGTTCCACTAAAAGTGACATGTTAGGAATCGCCACCCTCAAAGTGGGTACCAAAGGCAGGCAGCCTTACACCTGTAAAGCTTGTGGCAGACCCCCTCACTCATTGAGGTCAAATGTTCCCTGTGTTGGTTCAATTGACTTGGAATGGGCTTTTCAGTGAGACGATGGTCTTGCAATTGCATTTGTAGGCCCCTCTTCTTTTTGTTGGCATATGCTGATGCTTGTTCTTCTTCACCTTTGAAATTTGAGTGTCAAGGCAACATTTTATATCGTTACACATATTGAATTAATGTTGATCACATATGCTACAAAATATTAATCAGATTAGCATATCCAATCATATATATACTCTTGCATATAGGAAACTAATATAGTAACGAGATAAAATAATCCATTATATAAAATTTTTTAAAAGGACAAAGACTAATAGTACCCAATAATAGAGGACCATTCTTGCAATCAACCCAATTTTTAGGCAATTATTCTGTATTAAAAAAAAGTGCTCCGACAAAAAATTGTCCCTTTTTTGAACTTTCTAAAACATGTGTATTATCAAATATTACATTATCGAAAATTAGAAGGAATAAATAAGGCTATTATGAGTAAGGGCTTAATTACAACATATTCATGGTCGTCAAAATTAATATCCAAGATTTTTTTGGAGGGAAATTATAAAATCAAAATTACAACTGTGATTTAGTTGCTAAGCCAAATTAAGTACAACGTGAGTTGTACGACTACAATGTCAAGGAATAACTACGGGTACAGCTACCTCTTCTGTACACAAATACCAGCTGTACACAGGCAAAATTTGGCCAAGTCAAAGCCATTCTCTTGTGCACCACGTGATCCACTCCTGCCGTGGGTTTGTTCGGATCCTGTCCAACCGCTACATTGTATAACGTTCATTGATAGCATCTGACGGTTTGTACCCAGCAGATGAACGTATATTATGGGAGAGTAAAATCATATTTCGAAGTGTACTTGGAAAGGATCCTTCAAGATATAGGAATCATAGCTTTAAGAGTAGTGAAATTCGATCAAAACTCGGGTTTATTATCTAATTTTATTTAATTTCTCTCTCTTCGTCGTCGTCGTCATCGTCATCGTCTGCTCTTTTACTGGCAGCCACAAACCAAACCACAAAGCGTGGCGTTGGCTTCTTTCTCCGCCTTCATCGCTCCCCTTCTCTCTCTCCTCTTCCTCCTTGTCCCCTCCCTCTCTCTTGCCGTCGTCGTTCTTTCCATCCCCTTCCTCCTTTTCTCTCGCCGGCGATCGATGATCGTTCCTGTTTGGGAGGGTTTGGAGACGCTTCTTGCGATCTACTGGTGGTAGGTTCTGGTTTCAGCTTGGATCATGAAGGATTTGCAGATTCTTACTGTGCTTTGATTCCTCGACGGGCTGATTGAATTGGCTTCTGTTTGTTCCCTTCTTTAGTCGGAACCCTTCCTGCTCTTCATCTGATTTGGCTCCAAAGGGAATCGGAGAAAGATGGGTCACTTGAACTCTGTGGGTGGGATTCAGGCGGACGGCGCTCCAGTCAGCGGTGGAGGGCTCAGGTCCTCTTTCTTTCTTCCCACGCAAGAAAAGATACTTCCTTTTTGTTTTCTTGTTATGTTTACCTGAATTATCTGTTAGTTCTCTGTTCCTTTAAGCTAACCGAACCTATGCAGATGCCAGCAGTGAGTTGTTTTGCAGTATTTAATTACCTTCTCGTTGGAGAGTCTTAGGCATGGGCAGATTTTTGTGCTGAATTATTATTTTATTTATTGCAAAAAAATTAGTGAGATTATTCCTTAGCAATTTCTCGATGATTGGTTCAATTGTATATAGGATGTTTGATTAGAAATTGTTAAGAACTTATTAGAAGATGAATCCAGTTTCATGTCTCATTTCATGCATTCAGGTATAATGAATTGAAGAAAATTGGGTAATATAAGACATATTCTTGTTTCGCTTGTGCTGTTGATTATGTATTCATGACGGGCAGTAAGTTGAGCTGGTCATTCACTTTTCAAATGACATATCTAGTTCATTTTCTCTTCATTGCAGTCAGAATGGGAAGTTCAGCTATGGGTATGCAAGCTCTCCTGGGAAAAGGTCTTCAATGGAAGACTTTTACGAAACAAGAATTGATGGTGTTGATGGAGAAATTGTTGGCTTGTTTGGAGTTTTTGATGGTATTTAATTGTCTTTAATATAAAAAGAGATTAGGTGTAGTATGTTTTGAGTATGTACTCATAGATGATACAACTTATAGATTTTGCATTTCTATGCGAATAGCAGGCATGGATTCTGTACTACATTTCTACCTTTTAGTCTCTTAAATTGGAAAGTCTCACAGCGTTCATTCAGGTCATGGTGGTGCTCGAGCAGCAGAGTATGTCAAAGAGCACCTCTTCAGCAATTTGATTAAACACCCCAAGTTCATTAGCGATACCAAGTCAGCTATAGGTGTTTTTTGTTTACGATTTCATCATTTGAATTTTTATTCCTGTCAATATATGTATATATCTAATCATTTCTGTCTGTACTATAACCTTGCAGCTGATGCATACAATCATACTGACTCAGAGTTTCTGAAATCTGAGATTAGTCAAAATCGAGATGCTGGCTCAACTGCTTCCACTGCCATCCTTGTTGGTGATCGTTTGTTGGTTGCAAATGTTGGAGACTCTAGGGCTGTTATATGCAGGGGAGGGAAGGGTAAGGCCCTAAAATATGTACAATTATGATGCATCTTTATGTTAATTTGTTGCAGTGGATATATGAAGCCAAAGAATATAGACCTAATTGGCTTGTTCTACATATACTTTTTGTGCATGATTTAGTACTTCCATAAGAGATGACTTGTAGTATTGGACCTAATATATCTATGTTGTGACCATCAAGATTCACAATTTCGTACCATATCGAGATCAGTTCGGTACGGTACAAGTATACCGAGTGGTACGCTCTAGCATACCGCTTGGGGGGTGTGTGTATATATATATATAATAATAATAATAATAATAATAATAATAATAATAATAATAATAATAATAATAATAATAATAATAATAATAATAAAAGTTAAAAAATAAAAAAAGGGCGACGTCGCCTTGTTTCTTCTCGCTGCGTGGGGAGAAGAAACCTCATTTTCTTCGCCCCATAAATCCTCGGTGACGTCGTCGCCGAGGCTTCTTCTCCCCACGCGGATGAGGAGAAGTCACCAATGACACCGAGGCCTCGTCGCCTCAGACGAGGAGGAGGCGACATCTCATCTGCGACGTCCGACGAGGGAGGGCGGTGACGGATCGAGATCGTCGAGGGAGAGCGGCATCAGATCTCCAGGTTCTCCCTTTTCTTCTCCCTCTTCTTCCTTCTCCTTTGGCTAATATCGCCTCGTAACAGGCGGCGACGGTCGAAATCAACCGTCACCGACTGATTTCGCGTGGTAATAGGACGGAAACTGCCCCAATCGATGGTACTGCCCGGTAGCGGGCGGTCCGCGGACCAGTACGTACTGCCCGGTGCAGCCAGTATCATTCAAAATTAAAAACCTTGGTGACCATAATAGTTTTATTATCTGCTGTTACTTGTGACAAGGAGGTTGGTCATTTGCATTCAACTATGTTTTTCAATGACACTAGATTCTTCTAGTATTATATGATGTCTTTGAATTTGTTATTGTGCTGGGTACAACTAGCTCTTCTCATTGGTCTTTATTTGTTTAGGCTAGACTGTGTCCTAGTCTGGGACATTCCTAACAACCTGCTACATGGTTTGCGATCGCTTACCAAATTGCCTTTAGGGCTTTGGTGCATAATTTGTTATCACATAAGCTTACTTTCATAAAGAAATTTCCACCAAATTTTGGGGTTTGACTTAGGCTTAGAAACGTGCCGATAATTTCACGAGGCATTCTTGTTTTTGGTTGTACTCTACAGTTGATGACAAGCGATTAAAAGAAGAACGGATGACAATGATATGAGTGTATTACTCTAGAAAACATGCATACAAAGCAAGATGAAACAGAATGGGAAAAAGAAAGGATCTTTCAAGTTTATTATTATGGAAACACATGCTTGACCTGAAACTAATCTGACCAGCCAGCTCTTCAAAGATTTTCTGAAACAATGCACCAACAGGTTATGTATTGCTACCTGAACCCAAGTCAACTGCCAGCCGGTCTTGTTAAATGGTTCCACTCAGTCGTGGTGATCCATCTTGGATTGAGATTCCCACCTCAATATGTAGGATCACAATTATTTGAAGGCCATGGAATACGTAGGGTGAACTATCCCATTGTGATTTTAAGCATATTATAACTAGTCAATTAGTCAGTTATCTTACCGATTATCTTCTAAAGATTAGTCACCTAGCTTGTTTTGATTTCGTAGACTCATATATATGCTTTTGTAGCATTTGCTGTCTCGAGGGATCACAAGCCCGATCAAACAGATGAGAGACAACGGATTGAAGATGCCGGAGGCTTTGTGATGTGGGCTGGTACTAATTTTCTTCCAAAAGTTGTTCCTTCTTTATCACTTGAATCCTAACACATCTATGACTGCAGGAACATGGCGTGTCGGTGGTGTTCTTGCTGTATCACGTGCATTTGGTGACAGGCTCTTGAAGCAGTTTGTCGTTGCAGATCCAGAAATCCAGGTTTGGATGCTTATTTATATTTTATTATAAAATCATAGAATGTCATTCTATGATCAGTGAATTGTTATTATAAGTCAAAAGTAAAAAAAGCTTTTTCGTATTGTTCTCAAGCTTTCTAGTTAAATCTTAATGTGATTACAGGAGGAGGTAATTGATAATTCCCTGGAGTTTCTTATCCTTGCGAGTGATGGATTGTGGGATGTTGTTACAAATGAGGTATTTTTAGCTTTTTATGACCATGATAGCAATCCCAAACATACTAGTTACATCAACTAAATCTCTCTTTTTGGGAAACATCATAGGAGGCCGTAGCCATGATACAGCCCATAGAGGACCCAGAACAAGCAGCAAAAAGGCTTTTGCAGGAAGCGTATCAAAGAGGGAGCGCTGACAATATCACTTGTGTTGTGGTACGTTTCTTGGCTGGCCAGGAAAACACTGGAACAGTGCAACAGTGACGCTCGCTGCTTCATCTTGTTTTAGTCTTAGTTGTCAGCGACTAGTGTTTGACCGAGAAATCAATGGATTTTGCACATATGAAAAGCTGCCAGGTTGCTGAAATCTTTGTTTGTGGAAGAAGGTTG